TGTATAATAATGTCAATGACAACGTCAAAACTGGATCAGAACAGATATTTATTAATAAACTGCCTGTAGTACAACCTACAACTACTACATTATTATAAAGTATAATTTGTCTTTAATTGTAGTTTATTCTTGTTTTCAGCAGGAAGAAAACAGTGTGCACTTTAGTTAACCATTTTATACTTTGTACCATCTTTATATAAAAGGGTTAAAAAGTGTCAACCCGTAGAACATTGTGAAAACGTTCATCGTTTATTGTAATATCTTAAAATTGTTCATTGTGTAAATATAAATTCTGTACATAATTTTTACAATTTTTACCACCAAGGCCGATTAAAGTTAACTTTAATTTAATTTAACTAAATTAGGGACGCATAATATCATATGAACATTAAACAAAGTTTTAAAAAACATATCCAGATAATTTAATTGAAACCATTGCTATTCTCATTATTTCAGAAAAAATAAGTGAGGTATTTGGCAACTTTTAGAAGAGAAAATCAAATCAATTCTGTAAGAACGCCTACATATTAAAAAAAAGTAGTACTTAATTATTATTAATTTTTTACACGTCTTGTACATACATACATTTCGACAGAACTTTCCTCGCCTATAAAGTATAGTCGAACAAATACGGTTTACGTTTTTAATTTTGCAAATCTTATTTTTTAATGATAAACCCTATAAGTTAAATTAAAATATGTGTGGACTGTTACAGGATAAATAAAGGAGCATGCTATGCATATGATTCAAGTGAGTTTTTCCGTAACACAATTTTGTGGTAATTTCGTCTACATTTTATAAAGGACACGTTGAATAGGTGCAGTGTAATACTAATAAAAACAGTACTGTATACTATTATTGTCATTATACTATTTTTGTTATTCTGTATACGTAATACTATGAATCCATTGATAAACTATAAGTGAGGAATCCTAATATTTTGCGTATAGATAGGATTTATTCAGCAAAATTTTGAGGTGACATTATTAATTTTTTGGGAGGGGGTAAACAGATAAATTTTGAATACGGATTCACCATGCTTAGCAAAACCGTAACGTGTATGCAAGACTTCGGAGCACTCGATTTTGAAATTTCAAAGTTACATAAATTGTAAAATGTTGTTACTCAATTTTGATATTTTTACAAAAATCTGGATATCCAGGGTAAAAACTCAACACGGATTCATACACCACAAGTGCAGGAATAGGTATCTTATTTTATAAAATTTAAATAATATTTGCTATTGTAAATTTTGAAGATGAAGTCATCCCATTGTTGGTGATTAGAGAATTTTTGGTCAGGGTTTTACCATCTAAACGATATCCCCAACATACATTTTATACATATAAATTTGACCATCCATCTAGTAATTTCGAAAAATATATGTCTAATTAAAATTGACACACAAGACAGACAAACGGAAACGGGACACCTACTTCTTCGTATACTAGGGGTCATAAAACGTCGAGAAAAGCTGAAAGCAGTTATTCGTCATTAACTTTCTGAAGGAGAGATATAAAATGACTTTTAATAGTTGTTCTACAATCATGATAAATCAACGTTAATAATTTGTCAAATTAAATGCTGTATTTCAGGGTGAGGAATCTGTCTAAATAATCTTTGACTATTTTTTTAAAGATAACTCGCATGCTTATCTTTTAAAATATGGTTACATCGGTTGTAAATCGCAAAATATGATTAAATTTTCGGACGACGTCATCATTTTTTTAAAGGCATGAACAAACGAATTCTGATAACGATTTACTATGATCAAAAATTACCAGATTGCCAGAAATGGATATTTTTATGTACCTACTAAATTTATATATACGTTATAAGTCTACACACAATATAAATAACTGAAACAATTTTAACAACTTTTTGAAAACAATGTAAGGACCACATAAATGATGCAAAAATTTGAATCTAATGTTACTTCTCGAGTGTAAACTAGTGTACTTTGTCTGACTTATTGGTTACATTTCTTTCTCATTCTTTAAAAAAAATAGAAGCTTGCCATCTAATGCAAATACATATAGTAATACATCTATCTAGTACTTTTAATTTCTGATAATTTATTTTCAAGGACATGGTTTATGAACTAAATTAAATCATTTAAATATCGACTGCCAAAATAATTGGTTTCAGACTATGAGTCACGACTAAAATTAAGGTCGCGCAGCGTTTGAGTTAAGGACACAAGATGACATGAACTGAAATAGCGTGTTTTTTTCATTATTTAAAGACAACTTATTTAGTTGGGTTGAGTACATAGATCTCCTACAAAGTTCAATTTCTAGAAAACGCCGCCAATTCTATCATAAATTTTTAGCGTAATATTGTTGTGATATTTATTGTAATCTCACAAAAAAATTGGTCGGCTATTTCGACATAACTTCCCTCGCCCCTGAAATCGAACTTATTCGAAAAAATATCAAATTCATTAAAAAAGTAATTTTAAAATATAATATTTCGATTTTATATTTTCAGAATCACAGCCAGTCCTGAGCATAATTAAGTATTTTCCAAGGAGTGGTTTATAAAAACGTAGTTAATTTAATTATTGTACGATTAATCGATGTATATATGTTAACAAATAAAAAATCAAATTCTTAAGATTTAGTATCTAATGCGCCGTTAAATATTTATAAGTCATCTAACTTTTAATTTGCTCTCTACAAACCGAATCTTGGCACCAACATTAGTTAAGATTTCTTACAGGTACATAGATGTGCAATTATTTTCTACACGTCTCTGGAGGTAGTGTTTAAAGTCGTTAGAAAGTCTCGGAAGAAATGTTTAATTATCAACATTTTAAACACCACAACTTTTTCTTTTAATAACATAATAACATAATACCAAAATGCTAAAGTTAAGAAGATTACGGTGAACACTTGACCTTGCTTTAATTTGTGCGAACTCACTTAACAAATTTGCATACGCAATAATTAATTCCTTTGTGTTTTTCCTGATTTATGAAAAGACTTGTATTTCAAAATATGGTAATAAAAAATGTCTGAAAAATGTACCTAATTAAAAAGTGCGCTTCTATAGTTTTGATAAAAATAAACCTCCATGTATTTTGTTCATTGGCTAATGATTAGAGCTCTGCGGTTAAAATTTATTTATCCCCACTATCCGTCCCATCAGGCCAGCAGTGCAGGCCGCTGCAGTCTTGCCTTCCTCGCTTCTCGCTTCTCATTGTGTATTATTTTTCATAATTCACATCAATCGTTTTATTGTCAACGAGACCGACACTTGAACATTATTAAAATTATTATTCTTATTATTTCGTGGGTATGGATTTTAAAATCATCAACTGATTTTCAGTGAACACTATTTTTCGCGTAAATTTCTTCGCGATACGTAACATCGGCTGCGAGCCACTGGTCTGCCGTAGTAGGGGTCGATTCGAAAAGTTTAAATTTCGACCGCACAGCTCTACTAATGATTTATTTCTGTATTGAAAACTAATAGAAAAATAAATTGCCAACAATACTATTCCAATGAGGGGATAAACTATATCTGAGTTAAAATTTTAAAATCATAACCTTCTGCCTATAAATAACATGCTCGATAATAGAGAGACTCTTTCTTTTGTCTAAGGTTTTTTACAAGTGTGTTTGCACTTGTAATTATAAAAACAATTTTCATTTAAACACAAAATATTACGTATCAACCATATGGGCATAATAATGAAATTCAACTGTTCTTAAAATAATATGCTGAATCGAAGATTTAGGTAAGTATATTTCTTTCTTACCCACACCGTAAAATGTGTCAATCCAAATTAACATGTCAACTGATGGCACCAAATTTCAAAATTTTCTAAAACACTTGCAATGGCATTTTAATTGTTTTTAAAATATTTTAAGAAACGTATAAATCGCTTTCGCCGAAAAGAATAATACCCAAGTTCACTGTTTTATATGTATAAGTTGATTTTACTATATCGAAGTAAAAATTTAAATCAACATTTTTTTCGGTAAAAGCATTTTTAACTATCTTAACATTTTCCTGAGACTACAGCTGGAGGGAAGAGAATATATTTCCTCTTCCCCTCATACAATCGATGTCACTAATAAATAAATCAAACGCCAACAGTTCTAACTTATTGGAACCAATTCAGAAAAATTCAAGACGCAACCACAAATACAATTCAAAACCATCTTTCATATTTCATATCATTTTCAAAAAAAGTAAAACAGAGTTTATCTGTTTTGTTATAACAACATTAACGTGAAGTCGGATGTTACTACCACGTTAAAATTAACATGATATAAAATGTATTCAAACGACGAAAAGACTAGTATGATTTTGACATAATATGGTGAGTACTTCTTCACTTTGGTATAGAGAGTATTATGCGTATAGAATACACTTTGACAAGCTCTTGTTCTCTTTGAACCTAAAGTTGACGTTTACTTTTAAATTATCAAAACTTAAGAGCTGTGTTGTAATTAAAAAATTATGATAACAAATATCAAAGACTGCTATGCAGTTGTATTATTGGTTGCGTTTTGAATTTATTGGACGAGAAGTTTCTCATGAATAATTCTGTATATTCTGTAATTAACACAATCTAAACAATATTATTAAGAAATACTAAGAACCTAAAAACAAAAAAGACTTTTATAATATCTCCAATAGAATTCTGTAAATTTTCCGTAGTATCCTCATAACTTGTATATTTGAGTGTATTTACCTGAGTCCTCCCTTTTTACTCAGTCTGTACCTTCAATATAACTTTAATTTACGCTACCAGAGGGAACACCGGCTATGTCGTTAAAACAGAAATCTATGGATGTCAATTACCGACCAACTCTCGCATTAGAAATGTCAATTTGTCCACAGCTCAACGTTCAAATTAGTGAAATTTTGCTGAGGTGTTTTATCTTATCATAACCCGCAGACGCAAAAATCACGTACTTTGTAAAATGATTCCAGTGTATAGTCATAAAAATATGTAAACATACTTGCGTTTGGTCAACTGCAGTAGAATGACAGATCCATCGTCTCCTTCCCCACAAGCGATGCAAGAGCCGACTACTTCCACTGTCACAGTTGTTGAAACAGCCGATGAGCAGGTAAACAATATTACGTAATTGATAAGAATTTTAAGTAGTTGTAGTCGCAAAAATGTTGACCGCCGTGAAAAGATCCCTCCGTCATGTTATTTCTTCACACATTAAAATAGCAAACGGCACGTTTAAATCAATACACACACAGTCTTCACATAATTCTCCGCTGGAAGGCGTCAGAGTTCTCGATTTAACTCGAATTGTGGCAGGGCCGTATTGCACAATGATTCTGAGTGATTTGGGAGCGGAAGTCATCAAAGTAGAGCGTCCCGGAAGCGGCGACGAAGCACGTAAGTGGGGCCCTCCATTCGTGAACAAAACACCAGAAACTTCCTATTTCATTGCCCTGAATCGCAACAAAAAAAGCGTCTGCATTGACCTCAAGTCACCAAAAGGAAAACACATTTTATATGAACTAGCCAAAACGTCTGATGTACTAGTCGAAAATTACGTACCTGGTAAACTGTGCGAACTAGAATTAGGTTATGAACACCTTAGGCAAGTTGCACCACATCTCATTTATTGCTCAATAACGGGCTTTGGGCCCGAGGGTCCATACCAGTCCAAACCAGGTTATGATGTAGTTGCAGCTTCAATGGGAGGCTTTCTGCATATAACTGGACCCAAAGGTGGAGAACCATGCAAAGCTGGTGTTGCAATGACTGATTTATCGACAGGTTTATATGCTCATGGAGCCATTTTAGCAGCTCTTTTTAAACGTACAAAAACAGGCAAGGGGCAAAAAATTGATTGCAATTTACTCTCCACACAAGTCGCTTCATTAATTAATATTGGCTCAAATTATTTAAACACTGGAAAAGAGGCAGCGCGCTGGGGTACGGCCCATGAAAGTATAGTTCCTTATGAAGCATTTCCTACCAAAGATGGATATTTCACTATAGGTGCTGGATCAGATTTACAATTCAAAGACCTGTGTAAAAGAATGGGCAGACAAGATCTTGCAGACAATGAAAAGTTTAAAACTAATCAACTCAGAGTTCAACACAGAATTGAATTGATTGGGACCATAAGATCCATTATAGCTACTAAAACGAAGAAGGAATGGGCAAAGATTTTTGAAGGCGGTTCATTTCCCAATGGACCTGTTAATACGTTGCAGGAAACTTTTGATGATCCTCATATTGAAGAAATTGGTTTGATACATTCAATGGAGCATCCCGTTGCTGGAAGCATCAAAGTTGTTGGACCGCCAGTTAAATACAGTGATGGAGGTAACTGCGTACGTTCCGCACCTCCAACGCTTGGGCAACATACTGATGAAGTTTTGAAAAATTTGCTACAATACAATCAAGAACAGCTCAAAGAATTGAGGCAACAAAATGTTATACAATAAGGAGGAATTATTTTCAATGAAAACTATGCCATACATTCAAATACTTGCCATAATCTGTGATTATTTTAAGATATACTGTAATTGTGGGGACCCAATTTGTTTCTTAAATGTTTATTTAGATTTAAGGGGATGTGAGAATAATTGTTATATTCATATTTTTACAGTTTCACAATAAAGCGTATATTATTCATGCACTTTTATTTTTCATTGCGTTATTATTGCAGGATCATGAGGTACCAACGCTCAAATTAAGATTGAGGAAACCTAAGAATGACAAGAAAGTTCAGTGGACCACTGAAACAGTAGATAATGAGGAGATGAATAAGAAAAAATCAAAATGTAAGTAACAAGTGTGAAGGTGTAAAATAAATTAATTTCTGTTTTCACGTTAGGTTGTTGCATTTACACAAAACCTAGGAATTTTGATGAAAGTAGTTCTGAGGATGAATCAGATGACGAGTGTGAACATTGTAAAGGCCATATGGAAAAGAAAAAGAAGAAAAAAACACCCACGGAAGATACGGTTCTAGAACATTAGGACTTTGTAATTTATATGATATTTATATATGTATAAGGTAATAATGTAATAACTATAAAGTTGATTGTTGCCCATTTCTGAATCTTAGTTTTAAGACATTTGTTATTCCAAGTAAAAGTTGTAGTGTTTTCCAAGAAAATGTGATAAAAGTGATGTAGTATTATTAAAAAATTGACTGGAAAAAATGTGATCTATGTACCTAATTGTCTGTGTAAGGGGCCGTTTATAAATTATGTCACATATTCACTGGGCTTATTTGTCCTCTCCCTATATAAAACATAACCTCTCTCTCCAGGATGACTTGGCACTATATGTAAGCAGTTTGTAGTAAGCATATGAAGTACACATGGAAGGCTGACATACTAAGAAATGGCTTGAAAATTTTAAGAATCCCGTTCCAGTTATATGTGACATCATTTATGAATTAAGTTCCAAATCATAAACAGTGGGGCTTTGTAGTCTTGATTGGTAAAATCTTGTCAAATTATAAAAAAAATCAAAACAGTATTTGTTGTTGTGACCATTCATTAGCAAAGGTTAATTATTACTGCCCATTTACTGCCATAAAATAAATGAACTGTAATATTTAGTATTTATTTGTCAATTTTGTACCAGCTGATGTGGTGCTTTCAAATTACATGTTAGTGAAAAAGATTCCTTTTAAAGCTTAAGTTAAAAAAATAGGAAAGTCAGTACCTATGCAGCATTGATAAATGATTAAATTACAAAATTGTAATATTTGGAAACGTAATACTCAGGTCCTACCACATGTTTGAACCTGCATGTTTTTCTCTAAACTCGATTCCTGTTGTTTCCCAGCACCAAATAATTTTAACCCCAACTTTTGATTTAGATCTCCATCTTTGATTAATTGATCACCTGACGTTGTCACCAACATTTCAGGATCTTTTGGATTAAACACAACGGAATTGAGCACGTTGTGATGTTTATCCCACAGATAACCATGCTTGTCTTCAGCACCACTGAAACCAGTGACATTAAAACTGCAACTAATGAATAAGTAAACAAGTACCTTGTAACAGGTACTCATTACAAACGTTTAAAAATGTAAAAAAGCATTCGTTGTTCAATGTTTATGCTTTATGAGCTCCGCACATGATTCTTACTTGCTTTAAAGATCTATTACGTCAGTATCACTTTCTTATTGTTTGTTTCCAAACCACGAATACGGTGATATATCCAATCAATGAATTTGGTTCTAAAAAGATGGAGCACTACACATTTCGGCGGGGCAGTGAGAGAGTTTTTTGACATCGTTTTCGAGGGAAGATAGATAGCTAAGAAAACAAAATCTGCTTATTTGTATATTTTCTGGTTAAAATTCAGTAGAATAGCTCGTTATGTTACAGTGGGGCACCAATGTAGAAGACGGGACTTTATAATCGAACTTTTATGCATTCAAAATTACAGTCCGGATGTTTCTGTTCCAGAGTCGCCAGAGTTTTATTTTTCTATACCGACAAGTTATTGATGGCCAATCCTACTGTACCTAGTATGTCGTTTTTTTCTTTTCTTAGAGTTCATTATTGTGTACCTTTCTTGTTCTTTATTTTCTTGTTTTGGCTATTCTTCGAATGCCTTACAGTGGGAACTGCAAATGTGCTGGAATTTCTTTTCATGAATTTTTATTCACCTGATAGAATTGTCTGTTCACTCTTTTTCTGTTTACCTTCAGCTGATTTCTCGCCTCTATGGTTAGTGATTTCGGTAATGGATTTACCGGTCTAGTATGTTTTTTATCTCCTGGAGTAATTCGACTTGTTTATATAAAATTTTCATTTGTTCGCCATGGTCACTAATCATGTATAAGTGTAGCAACATTCTTGGATTCCTGTTTTTATGTTATCTAAAGCATTTAGAACATTTTCGGATTGCTCTCTGTTACTACAACACATTGTTGTGTCTTCCACAGTTTCCACAGCACTGTTTTTTGCACGATTAGTAGTTTTGTTCACTTAATTGTACTTAGTAAATTATCTTTCTATTGCACTTTTTACAAACTACAGAACTCACATTATTCATTCGAGGATACTCCTGCAAGTTGGTATTCATCCAGAAGATAAGGGAAGACCGTTTTTCTACCGGGAGTGGCTTGTATCAATTTACCGTAATGCCTCTTTGACCGTGTTGTCGCGTCCATCCGTGTTATTATCGGTGGCCAAGCATGGACACTAACAAAATTATTTATTTGGGTGTAGGCCCATTTCCTTGGAAATGGATAGCTAAATTGCAATCAGGGAGAGGTAATAAGTAAAATGTAGTCTTCATTTAACAAGTATATTAAATCTAAATTCAAACAGAATTAATGGTAAAAATTGTAAGTCCCAGACAAAGATTAAATATAAATACATTCTTAAGGCTACAAATCCAAAAATCGTAATTTGACGCGTCCGCTAAATAATCCCTACCTACTTGATAAAACAAAACTAAAAGAGTTACTATTCACTTCAATTAAATATATCGTAATCAACCGTTACTACAAAAGGCCAAATATCAATGTCCCCTTAAAGCTAATTAAAACGAAAACGTTATTTGAAATATCTGTTAAATATTGTTTCCCTATCCCTGATTAATAAAATATTAGCATAACACTTAAATTAATTGGCAGTAAATATTACAAATATAACGTTAAATTGACATGGACGTATGAGGTCCAATTTGCAAATGGTACTTTTCACAAGGATCATTCCCTATTACCCTAAGTCGCAGTAATAAAATTTGGAATGATTAGCATATCCATAAATAAATTAAAAAGAATAAAAGAAACTGTCCAAAAATCATGGAAGGAAGTTTCCGGACCTTAGAGCAAAAATAACAAATGACAATACTACATATTTTCATATATGCGCGATTAATCATTAACTACGGGAAGTCTTAGAGCTTTTATTAAGGTACACGGGTTATCCGGAAATCCCCCCAAGATTCGTCAAAATTCCGAGATTCACATTAAAACAGGGACCGTAGAGTGCAGTGACCGCTTTCGTTATCTTCATCATTTTGTTAATGGCGTTTGCATTTAAGCGACAGACTAGTAACCCATCTCTCAGATAATTCCTCAGTTCTTCGATGATAAACGTTCGCCCTTACGATGACAGTAATGGACCATTCCCCAATTTAACAAGTTAAATTTTCCGTATAATGACGGAGGTCCAGGTTAATCACACATCAGTCGATTATCGAAGAAGGCACAGAAGCAAGATAACACATGCATGACGGTTTAAATTTAGATTCTTTCACTTACAAAAAACCATGGAACTTTTCTAAGTCTTCCTTCGCAATTTCGGGCAAGGAACTATCAGCTGGACAAGGCTTCAGCACGGCTCTACTTGGGTATCGATCGTTGTAGGTACTTGTCGTCTTCGTGGCACACTGGATTCGACTTCTTCGACTTCTTCCCGATTTTGCGACCTTTTATACGGCGTTTTTCTCATTAATTATGTCTTTGGTGGCATCTTTATGAGTGCACGTGTTGCATCGTGGTATTCGTATTTGGGTTAGTTGATAAGAATGCAATCCTTTTGGGCTTTAGTTAGAGGTTTTATAAGTCTTAGTTTCGTTGTTTCGAGAATTTCGTCAGACTGATAAGTCGCAAAATAGATTGATGGTAATGCGTGAGATTTGGTTTGTTTTATGCTTCTTTTATCTTGCGTTGCGTTATTGTGTAACGCCTTTGGTAGTTAATTTGGTGTGATTTATTTGGTGTTGGTTCCTCTGTGCTTTTAATTGAATGTCGTTAGAATCACGTGCCAACGTTGTGGATTCTTCTTTGTCTTGTTATCATGTTAACGTCACATGCTGTCGCCATCTTGGAACTTTTGCTTGGGTGTGGTATTTAGCTAGGGTTGACTGAGTGAGTACTTCTCAATGGTGTGCGAATATGGGTTTTGCAATTATTTGGTGGTTGGAATACATACGCGATTGGACATGCGCAATTTGCTTGCTTTTTGCGAATATGCGAATTTAGTCTTTGAGTTAGAGAATTATGTTCTGAAGTTTCTTATTGCGGTATTTTGCGGTTTCTCCTCAAGGGTGGACCGTCACAGTGTATTTATACGAGATGGTACGTATTACAAGGACTAACATGGACGACATGTTTGGTTTATTGAAATGATATCATGGTGTTAGGAAATACATTAACTATTAAACTAGTTAATTAATCAGCCTAATGAAAGAGGCAAACTTGAAAGTGAAAAAGAACTAGAATTTTTGGGACATACTGTTTTGACAAACGGGATTAAAACTAGTGGAACGAAGATCAATGCAATTCGCGATTGGCCAAACACAAGAGATAAGCACGAAGTCCGGATTTGCTTAAAATTGTGCACATAATAAAAGCGTTGAAAGAGGGTGATTCGTATATTTCCGATCAGCAAAGCTGTCCCATCCTATCTTCTTTCCCTCCGAGGAGTGGTCCGATATCCACCTCTTCTTTTTGGTATCAGAAGAGGTTTAACTTTGGTTTCTCTCTTCACTTCCTGAAGATGCCCCTTACGAAAGTAGGCGAAACGTCGAAACCTTTCTTAAATTCAACACGATCCAAACTTGAAAAACGTCTTTATAATGAGTTCACTGAAACTCACTGTATGTCGAGAACAGATTGCTTAAGAAGGCCTGCGAAAACTCGGATAGGAAATATGTCACCACGGAAATACTTCGAAAAATGCACAACGAGGATTCTGATGCTCATTTTGAAATCAACCAAGTGAAGAACCACATGATGTCAAAGATTCTGTCGATGACTTCAAAGAGAAGCTATTGAGCGTTCACGAAATAATGCGGGAATTCAGTAGGATTCCACGCAGGGCATCTGGTATGATTTTATAACCCTCGAAAAGAAGAAAAGGTTGTTGCCCGAAATTGTCGCCAGATTGGGAAGGTCCATATGTACCGTCGTGGCGAGGATCAACGAGGGCCGAAGACGAAAATGAAAATTATTCATTTAGACCGCATCATTAAATAGGCACATCAATGATGCTAATGATGTTTCTGATCAGGACCATTAGATTTAAAGAGGAAGCAGTGTTACGAAAAAAACTAATGTACTAGTTAGATCCGCTCCACCCATGGCCAGGTGCATGACTCATAAACGACGGCGTTTCCGACGCGTTACAGAAAAACCCAGAAGTGGTTTCTTGAAGCTTCTTGCAGATGTAGCGTGATTGTTTTAAAAGGGACCGCCGTCGGGAGCGAATCAGTCGAATCTGGAATGTGTGCACGTTACAAAGATGATAGCATTATCACTGCATGTTAATAATTGGTTGTAGTTATTTTGTTACCAATAAATATAATCATTGAGTTTTGACTCGCGCCAATTTAACCAACCTCCGGAAAACGAAACAGGATGTTTTTCCCTACCTTTTCTACAAACCAAATGTTTGGTTTCGGCGTGCAGATTCTTAGATTACAGATTCAAAATGTTTCTCTACAAATAATACACTTTATTGTGTATAAAACTAAATTAATACCAAATTACAAAAAGATTTCACTATAAATAAATACTTATGAATACTTGCTTCAACACTAAACATTGCGATGATGAGTTCCTCACCGCTGTTGCTGAGTTGCTGGTGCTGGTGTCTGAAAAACAAGTACATAACATTAGAAATTTGCTTTTGGAACTCTCCAAGAGCTAGAAACAGTTCTTATAGAAGAGTAGGAAAATATTCCTCAAGATAATATTTTGCACCTTTACGAAGATATAGGACGACGGATGGAAGCCGTTATTCAAGCCAGGGGAGGAAATACACGATATTAATTTCATTATCACTTATAAACTTGTGTGAGTACACTATTAACACTCTCCAAATCAGTCCCAGAATATACAGGGTTATTCAGCTAAGATGACCCATTTGTTTTTAAAATAGGCAACCCAAAATACCGATTCCACCTGAACCTGGATTACAAAAAATGTTTCAAAATTGAATTGCATCAAAGTTTGCTAGTTCATGGCCGACTAGTATAAAGATTATGGCCTGTCCAAAGGAATGTCAAAGGTACATTACGTGCTGCCATCTATTAATAATTCAAAAACGACAAAAGAATTATTAACACCTTTTGAAAGGCACAAAGGCATTCATACCGAAACAAACCACCATTACACGTTTTGAAGTCCCATAATGTCAAGTCAAATTAAAATTTTGCTAAATTATTAAGTGTAATTATTAATAGATGGCAACACGTATCGTACCTCTTGGACAGGCCATAATCTTTATACTAGTCGGCCATGGCTAGTTCAAGTGGAATCGGTATTTTGGGTTGCCTATTTTAAAAACATAAATATTGGTCATCTTAGCTGAATAACCCTGTATATATTTTTTTAATATTGTCATTATTTGGTATTGCCTTACATACATTTATCACTATTATGTGTTGTATATAGTAGCCATATGTAGTCCTGTTCACTAGAAGTGCAAGTGGTACAATAATTTTTGGGGAGAGTGTTTTATGAAAACGTCTATAATAGCGTTAATAAGTAATGAGTCCAATTTTTTAATAATACAAGAAACTTACTTACACTTTACATCCATACAAAAACACTTTTTGTATCATGTCTGAAATTGTTGAAATTAGTTTTTATAAAATACATATAATGGTCTATAGTTGCAGACAAAAATGGATTTGCAACGATAGTGTACACTTACTTAATTTGTCAAAATACTGAACAATAACACAAGTGACAAGCAAAAAAAAGTGGAATGTTGTGTATAAAAATTGATCTAACATTATGTAGACAGAACTTTCCTCGTCCCTGAAGTAAAGCCCAACAAACTTTTCTTTAAAAATTATAACTTTTTTTTTACTTTTTTTTTATATGTAGGCAATGCAATAAATGTCGCAGCTTAAGAAAAAAAACCTCCCGCATGAGTGCGCTGGTCGGCATGCTATTGAGGTAATGCTTGCCGTGGCGCTTATATCTATGTACAGTTGCGGCCCCCCAAAAGTGCACGATAATTTTCTCCATTGTAAATGTATCTTCAAATCATGAGCGCCCGAATAGCAAAATTTGTCAAATTTCATATTTTGTTTATTCAAAAATGCTACGCCACTGGTAATAGCCAGACTTACATTAATTTAAAAATTCAAAAAATTCCATGACAATGAAAAATCGTGCACTTTTGGGGGGTCGCAACTGTACAATCGAACGCATAAATTTAGACCCTATATGGACTGACCGCTTTCGTCGGTTGTCACAACAGGTTCTACACTTTTTAGCTCTACATCCAGATAAAACTAAAACACTCACATTAGCTTGACGGTCCAAAAGTCTTTTGTGTTCAACTTTCTTTACGGCTGTACCTGCATATTCTTTAGCCGCTTCCGGTAAAAATCCTTGACACACAGGTGATATTAGATCGGGATCAATAGTGTTCACATTCGTTTTTCCGGTTATGAGACTAGTTATAACCCCAACAGTAATCACACTCATCAAACCTACAGGTGCTATCCAAAGATATGCCAGTCGGAATAAGGGGAAAACATTAGATTCATCTGGATATTCCTGTAACAAATAATAAACGAACAACGAAAAAAAAAATTTTAAATATGGGCACAAATAAACATTAAATTTAAGTTACTTTGAAATAAATATCCATTACCGAGATATTATATCATTTCAATGTTTAAAAATGAGCGACCGAAAACTTAACTATTTTTGCGAAAACTGCAAAGACTTGAAAACGTCAATTAAAAATCTTCAAGATGAATTGAACTTACTGAAAACCAATGTGAATGAACATTTATCAGCAGCTGATAACACTTTTTCTCTGCAAGATAAAGAATAATATTGTAATCTTATAACCTCCGAAATTCTCGATCGCCAACAACGCGAATCAAACATTATTTTTTATAACATTCAAGAGTCGAAAAAAGAATCCTCCCAACTTCGAGCAAAAGAAGATCTGGATGTTATATCACACTACATTAAAACAATTGATGACAAGATTAACACCTCTAATTTGAAATGCTTTCGCTTAGGCAAGTATGATGATTCCAAAACACGTCCAGTTAAAGCTATACTCAATAACGCCGCTGATGCTAAACAGGTCTTACGAAATAAAAAATCAATAAATGATGGACCAATAGTGTCTCCGATCTTGGTGTGACATTCAATACAAACGTATCTTTTAGTGAGCATATAGAAAACATAATTAAAAAATCAAATCAAATGTGCGGATTCATAAAAAGACAATGCAGAAATTTTAAAAATTACATGGCTATTATGAAAAATTATTGTTCTTTGGTCCGTCCTATCCTAGAATATAACTGCATAATCTGGAAAGAGTTCAGAAACGCTTTGTAAACTTTTTATTATTAAAAATGAAAATAGATAAAAACAAAGTAATATATCAAGAACGCTTAAGGCTTATAGGACTTCAGTCCTTAGAAGTACGCCGTCGTAATTTTGAAATAACGTTTGGTTTTAATTTGCTACACAATCTGATTGATTCCAATGAACTTATGACCAAATTCAATTTTAGAGTACCGTCTCATTCTACTCAATGTCAAGAGTTACCGGTTGTAGATTGACACAGAACCAATTATGGTTATAACACGCCAACTACTTGGATTATGAAATAAATAAATAGCTTGCCACATGATTTTGATATTTTCAATTGTACTCGAAAACAGCTTCAGAGTTTGCTAGGAAAAATTAATTAAATTAAATATTTAGTTTTATAATAAGTTAGATTTAGGTACTAATCACAATGTAAGTGACTTGCATATGTCATAACAGGTTAATTAGAAGTGGCTTTAAGTGTATACTCCGAATACTTTAGTATTGCCTCTGTTGGAAATTATTTTCTTTTGGCAAAATAAACATTAAACAAACATTAAACATTTACATCAGTCTCCAGTCATTCAGGATATCAGTTTGGATTTAAGAAAAAACACAATACAACAAGCTAATAAAATTGTCAATCGGATTAACGATGACTTTGGAAGCGACAGAGATATTGCTCGGCGATATTTCCATCATTCGTTCGACTTGGGGTTAGCAGCGTAGAAAACCCGTGGGAGAATTCGTGACGATGTTGTCAGATATCAAAAACCTACCGATTTCTAAAGAGGTTGATGCATGAATCTTGTCATTAAGTTTTTGTCATTCCGCAGCTATTTTTATAGAATATGGTATAAAATAATAATTTTTGTAATGAAAAAGTACATATTTAACAACGATCTTTGTCTTTAAGGTAAACATTTTTAAATTCGAGCGATACGGCACATTATAACTGAGATTTGTCGCAGTTATTCATTGTTTGAGGAAAGATTTGATTTCAAACATCTTTTAAACGGAAGAAAAGACCTTTTTCTATCTTCATTTTTCAAAAATAATTTCACTGTGTTACTTCGTCACAGATCAATTTCAAAATTTCAGTACTTAATTTAAAAAAAATTGCTGAAAATTTGCAAGTGCTGGTAAGATTTTTTCGGTTTAAAGACATGCATGCATACACAATTGCATTATTAGATAGAACTGCTTCACAATGATTACGTGCATGCACACACGTGCATGGTGCACGTGTACATACCACAGAGGAGTGTCTTGTGACACATACATATATACTGTGATAACCCAAACTTCCCGCCTTGAAATTTGACCTTGAAACAGTTTGAAAGGCCCGCGAAAAATTCAAAAATTCAAAGTTTGGCCTTGGCTATGATCGTCTAACAAATAGGAACCTACGTTGTGTTTTTTTTTTTTTTGTTTTTGAAAAATGGCGGGAAGACGTTCTTTCATACAAGTGCATACACTGTCGAGAGCGCAAGAAATAATAGACAAAAATTGTTTTGGAGGGGGGGAAACGGCACCACCCTCACAGGGGGAAAGACGCTGCGAAGAATTACCCCTCAGCGCAAAAACCCCCTTTGGTTTTATTCCCGGACGACATATTATTACATTTCAAACACCTTAAGATATGGGAAAGAAAAACACTCGCGAATTGACAGACATACACACACGAAAAACGAACAAACGGAAATTCTGTACATCTGTTTGGAATCAATGCAAATATTTGAATATCACAAATTTAGTAAAACAAAGCAAAAGCTGAATCAAGTAACTGGATGCAAGTACACAAGTTATTACAGGCGTGTGGCGGCCGATCTCCCTTTCCTTTTTTTTTTGTTACGGCAGTTAACAGGAGCACAAGAAAAGTACCCCTGGAGCGTTGTAGCATAAGCGGAGTCTGAGCTACCGGTCTGGAACTGTTCTCCCCCCGCGACGATGATTCTATCTATCGCAAAGCCTACCCCACACGCATATCCCATGACGAACTTTGCCCTGCGGAACTAGGCCATTACGGTCGTCCAACCCGCAAAGATCTCGACTATTGGGCCAAATCGAGAAATTCACAACGTCGGCGGCCGCCCCCTGAATCTATCCAAACCTGTGGACTTGTACAGGTGGCGCGGTAAATCTCGCCAGCTCGACTAGGAACCAAACCTCGCTTCTGCCACGTTTTCTGTGTCATTTAACCTCAATTCCATTTTAAAACATTCAGACCTGGTTTATAGAAACTGAAGTTAAAGTTAATTCGCGATTAACTTTTAATTGAGGTTCGTTGCTAGGCGACGTGCAGGTTTTAACCAATCACGAGCTCCCATTCCACATTTTAATCCAGTGTTAAATTAATCGAGGATTAAATATTTAACTCGCGCTTCTATAAACCGGCCCTAAATCTCTTATAACTCTGATGTTAACAACAACTGAACAAGTGTTAAAGTTTCAAAGAGCAATAAACAACATTTAAATTCGCCATACAATCTTGTGAAATCTTAAACAACAAATAATTCTTATGTGGGATTAAAGTTGGACATCAAATAATTTATATGATAGAAAACATTCATCAACAAAGTATTTACAAAACAAAACTTAGCAAGGATTTATGAGACGAAAGATCTGGTGTGAAATAAACTTGTACAAATAGAAATGTTATGTGAGGTTAGAACTGTAGAACATGAAATTTACGTTCAATTAAATTTATACAACAAATAAAATTACTGAGGTTAAGATTGTGAGATTAAGAAATATAGTACGATGTGAAAAATTGCAGAGTTAACATAATTTACAGGAGATTAATATTTGTCACACTTTATCAACAGTTCAAACAAAGAGTTTACATTATGCCAAATTATATCATTAAGTGATTGGTTACTTCAGAAATAATTTACTTTGAGAGTTTAAAATACTACGAACTGGTTACCCCAACAAAACACATAAACAAACAAACACAAAAATATCCAATCATCGCTCCGAGGAAAAAGCGTCTCGGGGATATAAATTCCAAAATCGTTGCGAGGAAAAAGCGTCTCGGTGATGTAAATTTCAAAATCGTTGCGAGGAATTGCCTCGATCATTATGATAACGATGATAACCACCTAAGGGAAGGAATTATCATAACCCCCCCGCCAGTCCGCAGTATAATGAACTTGTTTAACTGCCGTAAATGAACTATTAGCAATATTGTGTGAAGAATTTAGAAGTGTTCTAATGTAACACTCACGTATATGCATCCAGAGACCTATTCGTAATTAAACATAAGGTGTTTTTCCTGACTAAGTGAATTTCATGAAATCTTCTAGCAAATGGTTAATTTAAATAATCCTGATTGTTAAATTGTGTTTGCTCTAGCTGAGTATTAAGAAAAAGTAGCTTGATTTGTGAATTTTCAAACAAAGAACAGATTCACAACACGTGTTCGCGTCCGACCGGAAGTCTGCAATTTTCGATTAAAAGGGCGCAAGAATTTACCGCGCGGGTTGGGGACAACTGTATCATTATGAAAAATACGTTTGATCGTCGTTAAACAAAGGCTTCCTCCCGTTTTATTAACTACCAAACCAACTAATTTAAACCTAGTTCTTACCACGTGGTCACACACACACAGCCACATTCGTAATGCTCTACCATGCCGTTTTTCTACCAACCCTCTAACTGAAATTACCCTAGCGCTACGTGCTGCCATCTAACCCAAAGATCATGCAAACTAACTCCTAAGCGCTACGTGCATTAGACCATCCATGCATATTTGGTTGCCTATGTTTAAGGATTTCCTTTTTGTGATTGAACTCTTTTTTTTTCAAATTAAAATTATTCAAATGTGATTTCGCGCCGTTGTCAATTAATTTCAGCGCGAAAAGTTTGATTTAAATTCGGTCACCACAATACTATAAGCCAAGTGGCGACCGTAAAATTACTATGCTGATTTCTGATAAACTGAATTAAAAAAAAAGCTTGTATACTGGATGACGAAAAAATTACGTGTATGTTCGACGATATACGTTGTTAAGAAGGCTCTCAAGAAGTCGAAAAAAATGGTTAAAAAAAATCTGTCGGAAACTTTTGAAAATATTTAACGTCAAATGAACTGCATTGTCTAATAGACAGCTAAATCATTAGTTATTAATAATTTTAATTTGCTAGAATACGATCCATAACATTGTTTACTGTCATTTTTAGTAATTTTTATTAGAATTTTATTTACTTAATATATAACTATAATTGACCCTTTTCCTGTAAGCAAAGTGAGTAGATATTATATAAATTCCAATGATACAGAGTGAGACAACATCGCGCAGGCGAAGTCAGATTTTTGAAGCGCCAAGTTAAAATTAACCAATGAGCGACAGATTACGCATCTATAGCTGGTTGCATTCTGTCAAAGCGGTTTGTTGTCACAGGCCTTTGCTCTGTTGCCGGAGTGCCGGATACGTGGTTTTGAAGATGCGTGCGCACGGAAAGTCACTATGGAAGTTTTACGATCTTACAGGAAAAGGGTCAATTCTACAAACGCACGTCTCGTTAAACTGGGGACGACAAATAGCAAAAATAGCAAAAGACAAATTGCCAGTCTTAACAAATGTTAATATAAAAAGAACCTGCTCTGAAAAATAGTCCTATTTTTCACACTTTTCAAAACTCAGTTTTATAAGTTATGACAAAAAAACTTGTGACAAAATTCTTCAGCAAAATGTGCTTTATCAAAATTAAAGAAGCTTTTTCATCTGTTTTACATACTTACAGTTTCCTCCTTAGTAACATTAAGATCGTATTTTTCATAACAGCCATCCACAGAAATTGGCAATGCAGGAGCCAAAACTAACCCTGCCGACGTTGCATATTTATTACCAAAAGCGACAATGCAAGTGAACACATATCCAGTAATGGAACCAACTATAGCGCCCTTTGTGTTACTCCAAGGTATTAGTATTCCAAGAGAAAAAAGTCCGAACATTGTACCCGCATTAATGGAAGTAAGAATTGTTGCCACCTGAAATGAAGATACCAACATATTAAAAGTTTAGCAAAGAATATAGGAGTATATTTTACTTCCCCACGTTAAGTTCTGAAATTGTTGCTTATTTTATGACAAGGTTATTTCACGGCGCGTAGAATGCGAAAATGTCTGTTCCCTGTTTGTGTATGTTAGGCAGAAAATGGAAGTAAAAGAAATTTTACTATTTGTTTAAGAATCTTCATAATCTTTCATATTTTAATAACACATTAAATTTGATTTATTGACAAAAAACTACCGATTGAATTTTGTTTATCTATCCAGGCCAGAAATTTAATGACGTTATCCAAAATTTATCATTAAAAATATGCGCTGATATCTAGTGATATTTGTATTTGGGTAATATACTTTTACGTCCGAACGTAAGCTAAGTAAGTATTATAGTAGCAATTGTCTACTTTTCTCGACGTGTCATGACCCCTAGAATACGAAAAAATAGGTCTCCCGGTTCCATCTGTCTGTCATTTATGTCGATTTTTATTAGACACATAGTCTCCGAAACTACTGGATCAATTATTGTCGTCAAATTTTATATATTTTTCTGGAAGTATCGTCTAGATGTCAAAACCTTGTCTAAAATTTGTCTCATTGTCCCTGCCAACAATTTAATGATATCTCCGCAAAATATTTTTTGCGCTGCCATAGTTGTAATTGACATTTTACGTTGACACGTGGCGTGTCGAAATGGCAATGAAAAAGGATCTAGTGCCGCAAAATACAAACGAGGAATTTAAGCTTTGAAAAAATAAATTGATTATCACAAAGTAATTACTACTAATTGATAATCATGTATCTAAAGTTATTATAACAAAAAGTGGCTCGAAATTTTAAAAAAGCGCAATTTAAGTTGTAATCTTAAATAGGGGAATTTGTTGATCAAAATTTAGATTTGTAGTAATTTGACAGTTGACACTATTCGGTGGTTTGGTTTATGTTGTTGACAACTATTATGTTATTACTGTTTGTTAGTACTTCTGGTTAATTAAAAAACCGTTTAAACTTGACGTTATTCGCAACCTCACGCTGAATCATATTCACAAGATTCTCTCTGATCTGGAGCCGCAAATAAAAATGTGTCCACTGGTAAGTATTTCAGACTTCTTGGGCTTGTGTCATTCTGCCGCTTTAAAAACGCTGTTAATTTATAAAATTTCGAATGATTTATGTTATGTTTCATGCCAAGAGGACTTTTCAGAACTGAATATATTGTCCACAGTGTGGAGGCTTTCATAATTTCTGACTTAATTTGGAAATAAACCACGAGCGTCGTTTTAGAAAATTCGCGTATTTTATTTTCTTCGCACCACTTGATGAATTTTTGATATTCGGCTTCATATGGACCTGCGGATTTTGCAGGCAACAAATTTGCAATTGCTTTATCTGCAATTTTCTGAATACGTGCACGATTTTTCATTTCAACTTTGAAATTCCAAATTTTGCCCGGACAAATTGACAGATTGGTATTTGACGTATTTGGTAATAAATTCAATACCAACATAATTTCGGTTCAGTAATATTTATTCTTTTAGCGATTGAAAAATGTTCTTTTTTCAAAAAGGCAGCGCAAAAAATATTGTATGATACTCGTGTGAAAACTCCATTGCATTACTCACTTACATACAGCGCTCGACTGCGTCTCGCGCCGTATTCCCGTTCGTAATGCAATGGACCGTTTTCAACACTTGTAACATAAATAACTATTAAGTCCTGTACTTGTGGTTTATGAATCTCCTTGATTTTGTTTATTATAATATTTTTTAATCTTTAATCCGTCTTTTCTAGACAGACAATACGAACCTCCATAAGCAAAGCCATGGTCTAGCGATAGCGCGCTCGCTTCGAAGATAAGAGTAGATCAATGCCGGCGGTTTATCCTATTTTTCTGAAATTTTGAGAATACAGTACCGTTATTATAGTAGACTATACCTATTCAAATTGGTATGTGTTAGACACATTGTTTTATTATTAATATTACATGGCACGTGTTGGAATTGACATACGTGTGATTGCTTAAATGTTGATCGAAACTTTTCAACTTAAACTAACTTAAAACTATTTTTGAAGCAATTGCGAATCCGTGTTCTATCATGGCTGGAGAAGTGCACTCCGCGCCAGACCAAATATAATCAAGTTAACAGAGTGTGTTTTCGTAACATAATCGGTCGAGTCAAAGGCAGTGGTAGAGTGAAATACATTAATGAATTCAGAAAAACAAGCTCTGAAAAAAATTAAAAAAACATATTTATGGTGTCGCTTAAAAAAAGTTAGTAGTTGTCGTAGACAGACACAAAAACATGTATAGGATATAAAAAATTACACAGGATCGTTTAGTTTCTTACAGTGTTAGTTAGGGCATTATATGTTTATTTTTTAATAAAAGTTCGCAAAATCAAATTCTAGAATTTTTCAAAGAAACGGGACTTACTGAATTGTGAAGGAAGTCGTGTTGAAATAACCTTCGTCAGTTTTTTTGTAATCATTTATACATGTTGGCGTCATGGAAATTTTCATGAAAAAAAGTCCTGACCTATACAATGATAACATTTTAGAAAAAAATACTGTCTAAATAGTTTAAACGAATTTTTAAGTTAAATACACCATTATTAAACAAAACTTTGAAATCTGCTGAAGCATTATCAATATCAGATGTATCTCAGGTTCTATAAAAATATTTGATAATTTTCTGTCAAATGTATACTGAACATAGATATGACTAATATTTTGAAGATATGCTAACACATTAATAAAACAATATATATATACTTTATTACTTATATTCTGTTTTGATATGACGTCATCAACTCTCTGGAAGGAATTGTTGGGAAAGCAGAGAAAAATGTTGTGCCTCGGTGGGATTCGAACCCACGTCTCCAAGCAATCCGGGCTGGTATGCTAACCGCTACATCACAAGACAACTTATCTTTACTCTGCTTTACCCACGTGTTATTGTGCCGCCACAGTACTCCCCCCCCCAGCGACACAGCGCGCGGTCGTGCTGGGGTGCGAAGGAGATGGTTGCTGGCGTCGCTCCTGCCACTCTTACGTTCGTCGTTCGAACCCTGGCGGTGCTGCGGACCCCGAACACAGCGGGCACAGGGCGGTGGCAGAAGGATGTTGCGTGCGCGTTGCCTGTCGGTGGTCACCAATGTTGGGAAAGCAGAGAAAAATGTTGTGCCTCGGTGGGATTCGAACCCACGTCTCCAAGCAATCCGGGCTGGTATGCTAACCGCTACACCACAAGACAACTTATCTTTACTCTGCTTTACCCACGTGTTATTGTGCCGCCACAGAATGAATAAAAAATTTTCGTCAATGTCATCTCTGAGTTGAATTGTGAAATTTTATTATTGAAATTTGATGTTTTAGGATAGTCCGTAGACAACGTGAAACATAGGAATTTTAATCAGAGGTGAATAAATACGTAACGCTGAAGATTTTAAAAGGTATTAACTTAATGATATTTTACGATTCTTTGGAAAGAAAGGTTTCTGATTGGAATTTTACCATCTTCACAATAATTTTAAAGCATAATTAAAATTTCAAAATGACAGAATCTATAATGACTATCTATTAATAAGTTTTTGATCAGTATACAGAAACAGAATTGCAGTAGAAATGAATTAGTATGTTATTTAGACAGAACTTCCCTAACCCCTGACGTACAGGCGAACAAAAGCAGCTTCTTCGAGAAAATCGAAAATTTCATTTTGCCAATTTTATTTTATTATGATAACCCGTGTAGCTGAAAACAAAATATATGTGTGACCTGTTAAAATACCAATAAGAAAGGCATGTTGTGCGTATATTTCAAAGTTTGTTCTTGACTCGATCTATAAAATAAATTGTCTCGTTCATTATTTTTTTAGTTACCTCGTACAAGCATTTCTAGAAAATATGAACGTATTCATATACCACAAGTATAGACTTATTCTGCATATTTTAGATACGATTTATTGGGGAAAATTTTTATATGACGTCATCAATTTTTTGGGAGGGACTAAACAGATAACTTTTGATTAGCTTGCTTATTTTAACCCTAACATATTTACAAGGTTTCAGAGCATTTGGTTCTGCAGTTTCAAAGTTAAATCGGAAAATATTGTTATACAATTGTGATTTTTTTTATCACCTATACGATATTCATAACACAAATAAAAAATTTGACAACAATCGGTCCTATAGTTTTTGAAATTATCTGTCCAATAAAAATCAACACAGACGACGGACAAACAGAAAAAAGGGATACCTATTTCATACTCTGGGGTCAGCTTATACATGTTTTACCTGCTTGACTATATGGTACGCACTTTTAAATGATTTAAACATTATCATTTACCTCAAAAATTCCGCCCAAGTTTTCTATAACAAAAACCATAGAATAAGTAATAACGCCTACTATAAAAATAATAACTTTAGAAATGGGTTTTACTATTTCCTCTTTCATTCTGATATGAAATGCCCCTTGAACTAGATCTTCTAATATAACAATAGCGGCAGAGTTGAGGACTACCGATAATGTACTGAAAATGATTTTTCAACATATAAATATTTAAAATGAAAAACATATTTTACCTTAAACCTGCACCATAAACACCAGCAATAAATAACCCTGGCATACCGCTTAAATATCCTGAAGATTCTACTACAAATAAAGGAAGTATCTGATCGCTTTTTACAATGCGCCCTGAAGTAAGAGGATCGCAGTCGTGGTAGAAGGTGTATACTACGAGTCCAGCAAAGCAACACAAAGATATAAAAAATACAACACCAAAAGTAAATATTCCAACAGACCTGAAATGAAATCATTCTAACAATTATACGTAAGTCGCAGAAAAAAGCATACAATTGAGCTTGTTTATCGTTTGGCAAAGACAAATATCTTTGAACCATGGTCTGATTGCAGGAATTGAAAGATGTCCAATACGTAAACCCCCCAATCAAAATAACATATATATTGTAGCGCTTATACATGCTAGGATAGAAACTGAAATAAGTAGATTATGAGAATATATACCCTATATGTTTATAATTCACTTACTCGATAGCTTGTATTCGTTCACCTTCGAGGCCGATGTCAATTATAGGTTTAAAACCACCGACTGCAACAACTCCGTGTACAACAATAACTATATCGGCAACGAACATTAAAGCTGTTTGCCAGGTGTCCGTATAGATCACTGCTCGTAGTCCACCCTACAAAGAAGGAAGATATAATATGTTTTATTTGATGGCAATTCAAATTTTTGACTCACCAGAAGTGTGTAAAATACACAAACCGCACATGATATTATTCCAACTACATGATGATTAACACCTGATACTAGAATGTTGTCAGCAAAAAAAAAACCTTCAATCTAAAACTGATACACACCTTGGCTAAGGGCCAACGATGGAACATAGACCAGTGTGGGTAAAAACAATATCTGCAGAGAATTTGTAGTAACAACATTAATTACTTTCTTTATGGCATGAAACTTACCTCGTCAATCAGAAAAAAGACTGAAGCTATTGTTCGCAAATGCTCATTAAATCTTAATTCCAGATACTAAAAACATATATGTATTAATGTTTTAATGAATAATGAATAATAGCACTGTGTCGGAAAGTAAATCACTTATTTGCAGTTTCACTAATTGGGATGGGAAAACATTGAATTTTTGCTTACAATGCCATTATATCAGAGGCGTTAAGTGATTTTCTAACATTATGTCGTGTGTTCGTAAAAAAGCCCTGATCCGTAGCTGTCTCATTTTTTAGCGTACAATATTGTGTAATATGTTAAATTAAAACGTTTTAAATAAACTAGATCTCATTAAAAAAATATATTTTTAGTGTTCATTTGTTTCAGTCTATGACATTCAATCTTCTTCAATGACACTCTCAGTATTTTTTGATAGATTGTTGTGCAGATTTTTTATGAATTCACTGATGGATCATACTTTAACAATTTCAAACAATAATAATTTCATATTTGCAATAAAATTGTCTATTGAATTTTGTTGTAAAAGAATTTTATTCAATTTTGCCATTTAAAACGGCGTTTATTGGTGTCACATTAACCAAGTAAAGCAACTGTTTTATACAACAGCCAAATATAAATAGATATACCGTTTCCGTCCAAATGTCTGTCTGTCTGCCGTCTGCCGTCTGCCGTCTATCGTCTGGGTCCAATTTTACTAGACCAAGAATCTTCGAAACCACCCTACTGATTGTTGTCGAATTTTTCTTATCATCCCCACCAATAATAAAATCTTTAAATTTTACAATGGCAAATGTTGTTTTAGATTTTATAAAATAACATACTCCTGTACTTGTGGTTTATGAAACCGTGTTGAATTTTTACCGCAAATATCAAGATTTTTGGAAAAAGTCATATACATATGTATCAACATTTTACAATTTAATTGCCAAGGCCCTGAAATTTTGCAAACGTTTTAAAGTTATCGTAAGCATGGTAAATTCGTAATAAAATTCTATCTTCTCTTTACCAATGCATTCATATGTTTTTTACTTTATAGAGATTATCATTATAAAAAATCGCAAAATTAAATTTTATCTTTTTTCAAAGAAGCAGGATTTGTTAGTGTACTTCAAAAATGAGCAAAGTTCCGTCGAAATGAACTTCTATTTTTTTTTTGTTTTAAATTTTTGGATTTTGAATTTTTCGCGAGTTTTTAAATTTTGTTTACATGTCACAGAATGATTGGATATATGGGTGTCACAGGTTATTTGTACAGAACTTCCGTTGCCTCTGAAGTACAATCGAACAAATACAGCTTCTTCGAAAAATAATAAAATATAATTTGATGGGGACGTTAAGAAACACGCACAACGCTGCCTTGTCTGTGCTATGGCCAAAGCCAACATTCGCCTACGAGAGGACGAGATGTTCAGCGGGTAGCACTCACAAAGCTTGATATCTTACAATGGCGTCCAAGTCATTTTTTACGTGTTCTAAGGAACCGGCAAGCGGTGGAAAACCCGCCACTGGAGAAAAGTCGTCTTCCATCCATGAGCCAATCCTACCGAGAGGAGAAATCAAGAGTTCAAGAAGCTAATGAGGGTGTTCCCGTAAGAATCTCCAGGGAAACCATGGGACGAAAAATCCCCTAGGGCCTGTTTAATCTGCGCAGACGATGCAATTACGAGAAATCATGCACATAGGGCATTGGGACATGAACCACAACGCCGTTCAAACCACACCAGAGGAACAACAACAACACGCATTCTATACCATGGGCGAGTTTTTATACCTATGAGACAGGTGACAGAGAGTGTTGGTCCGCCTACACGTACCACCTGGACTACGCACGCGTTTGTTAGGGCCCCAACCGCCACCGGTGTGCCCGGTGACAATTTCCATGAAATCAACCATTTGACAGGTGACAAAGTATCGATGGTATATGGGGCAGAAACGCAAGTCGAACCTCTCAGCTTTTTTTACGAATAGCATCGGTTAAGACAGCAGTATTGTTTGATATATTAGTCTCATTCATCATTCATATAAATAAATGATAGAAGATTGCAGCGAAAACATCTGGAGTTAGATACATACAGGGTGATTTCGAAATATATGCAATAAGCACGGCATCACGTAACGTAGTAGTGTGGAAATATTGAAAAAACAAATTAAAAATCGAATGGGGTAAAACCCCCATTAACCACCCCCGATACGAAGTCACTGATCCACCTTGTACATAGAGGTGGAAAAACGTTCGAATAAAAACGATATAAACACTTTCAGTTTCAAATAAAAGTAAAACCGACTTTTTGCTGCTTATCATTCATGGTTAAAGGTCAGTGCGAAAGATTATTATTCGTTGTAGAAACAAATGGTGGGTCTGAGAAGGACCGATTTTTGGTAATGCTTCATGATGATCGACTTTTTATTCTGACGGATGTTTAGTCCTTGTCACAACGATTCCACATTGTTTAATGGAACAAAAATAAGAGCAACGTAGAATGCTACTACCTTTTTATAAGAAAGGTTGAAAATGTTGTTTTCATCGGACCAAATCAGAGTGTTGTGGCTGTAGAAAACAGCATTGCGAGTGAATCCTGCTTCATCCGTAAACAAAATGCATTTTAAAAAGTTAGGGCGTTCACGAAACTGCGGTAACAACCATTTGCAGTAAATTACACAACGTGAACAATCAGCGGGCTCGAAACCTTGCACTTTCTGAACACGGTATGGATGTGGCCTTGTTCTTTTAATGTACGATGCACTACAAACTGTGAAACTCCAACTTCAGCTGCAAGTCGGGGAATGCTGATGTCGGGCTCTTTTTCGTCGCGTTCAAAAATTTGTTCTTCAGCTTGCAGTATTCTTTCGGTCCTACTATGGCCACGATCGTGAGTTTGAAGTTCGAAGGTACCATGATTTCCGAGACGTTGTACCACTGAACACGTATTGCGCGATTTGGAAAGTGTTCGATCCACAATTCGCGGCCATGAATGTCAACACGCTCAGAATTGGTAAAATTTACCATTGTCAAACATAACCAAACACATCAAGCGATAGTAATAAACTGCTACATGACTGACTGCTCGTATCGTCTTTTTGCAAGTTCCTTATCAGTGCACCTTTTTTTGTGGTTTTTAAGTCTAATCGCCCTGTGTCATTCATTGTAGTAATTATGTAGGTCACGAAACACTACCAGTATAACAATTTATCTTTAATTTCAAATCATTTTTTCCAAACATTACTGCCACTTAGAAACGTGAAATTTACACATAATCTTATTGTGAGCCATTCCCCATTTTTTTTGCACATATTTCGAAATCACCGTGTATATTATTACTTTCCTGAAAACGCAGCGCCCAGACATTACCATTATTACAAAAAAAAAAAGTTAAATAGTACGGATAACCAAATCATTTTAGTGCCTCTTTTTAACATGACTGTAACATATATATAGTAAACCAGTTTTGCTAAAGTTTTCATTTAGCTATTATTCATAAATGTCGGAAGGTAGATTTCTTTGCTGGAATTTCATCTAATTTAATATATATATATAGGGTTAATAAATTTGTTCAGTTATATACATATACCTTGAAGGAGTTGGGCTATTATGTTCATATTATCGGATTCAATATGAGGACAGTCATGGAAAAAATGATTAAAATTTCAACAAAAACCATTAACGTTATCTTACCCTTTTTACCTTTTGAAAACAACGTTTCGTCTAGCAGAATTTTGCTTTGCTAGTTGATTTGTGTCAGTTGTGTAGAAAATTTTAGGGCTATCGCGTAGAAAACAAAGTGAAAAATGCCAAGACGTCGTGAGCCGGTTCATTTTCATCAATTGAGTGAATTTGAAAAAGGCATGAGAGAAGCCGGTTTCTCAATACGGCAAATTGCGGACCGTATAGGCCGTAGTGTGTCAACGGTGTTGCAATGTTGGAGGTGGTGGTCTGAGGAAGGAGTACATGAGCGAATTCGTGGATCTGGTCGTCCTCAAAGAACGTCAACACGCGAAGATCGTCATCTACGAATTGCTGTCCTACGAGACAGACGTTCTACCATTCATGCAATTGCAACTGATTGGATGGATGCGTTGGAGCATAGGATCTCCATGTCATCAGTTTATCGCCGAATAAGGTCGTTTGGGTTACGTTCAGATGGACCATTTCTTTACCTCCCATTGACACCAAGACATCGTGCTCGTAGGTTGCAATGATGCAACGAGCGAGCAAATTGGGAACATGAATGGAATCGGGTAGTGTTTGGGCTCACGTAAGACGGTGAGGCAATTACGTGGAAAACGCCGAAATTTGAATTTCGTTGTTGAACGCAATACAGCTCTGGCTGGCAATAACGCAGGGTAGCAGATCCCCTGTAGTTTTCATGCGCGGAAATTTGAATGCAAGAGGATACATCGATACAGTACTGAAGACGATTACAGTTCCTTACCTCAGAGGGTTAGATCGACCCCTATTTCAGCAAGACAATGCACGCCCACATACGGCAAGAGTCACAACAGAGTACCTTCAACAACATAATGTTGAAGTTCTCCCCTGGTCTGCTCGTTCACCAGATTTGTCACCAATCGAACATGTGTGGAATATTATGAGCACACGTCTAGGTAACTTGCAGCATTCCGCGAATAATTTAAACGACCTTTGTACGCGGCTTCAGAAACCTTCGGACGAGATCGCACAGGATACCATAAACCATCTTCTTTCAAGCAAGCCTCGCCGAGTAAATGAGTGCATTAGAAATCACGGTGGATCCACACATTATTGAATAAATTTCACAAGTTTTAGGCCTGTCATTTATTTGGTTCGATTTATATATTTGGTGAAACTTTCAGTTTTATCAGTCAACTAATTTAAGGTGTTCGGATTTTAATAGAACTCAGTATATAATTACCTCATATGAAGAGCTAACTCGCAATTTTGTAAACACTGGTAAATATACGAAAGCCACCACTGCGCCGCTGAAACTCATTGCGACCACTACGAGCCAGTATTGAGCTCCAAAATTATACATTTCTGCAGGAGTTCCCAACATAGTAACTCCCGATATGTAACTAAAATGATTTAAGCGTATGACTCGCATTACAAATAAAATTCAACTTACCTTGCAATTAACGACATTGCCACTGGAAAAGGCTTGAGATCTCTGTTACCGGTTAAATATTCTTTCACGTCTTCACGTTTTCGTTTTCTTTCCAGTTTATGCTTAAAAGCAATGTATACTCCTGTTAATGCCGAAAGAAACAAAAGTACCACAAAAAGGGTGTAATCTACTACAGTAAAATAATACTCATCTTCCATTTTGGCCATTTTTTCACTTCGTTCTATCTAAAAAATCAATTCATGAGGTCATATGAATCATTTAAAATATATTGAAATATAAATTATGGAATTGCAGTAACCATGGACAAATTGCATTGTCCGATCTCATATATTCTGACTCTACGCCAATGAAAAAAAAAAAAAAAACTCCAACAAGTCGATTAAAGTAGGTAATAGATATTAAAAGACAAAGCACACGTTACTGTGTAACTGATTTTGCAAACACTATATTATTACACAGATATCATAAATAACCACACTACTGTATACGTCACAAACATAGGTATAGCAATACACAATCATTGTAACATACTAATTATGGTGCAGTTTCCTGGCTATTAAAATTTTGCCACTGAAAAGTATTCACTGCAGGTGATCCTGCTAGCTTTATCACGACACAGATGATTTTATGTGTCAGGTGTTTTACCACCTTTTAATTTATTGATATTAAGTTTAATTATAAAAAAATAACAGATTCATTAAATACTACAGACTCACCCCCAAACGTGCCCCGATATGTTAGCGGTAATGACTTTGACATTAAAAATAATTAAGAAACTATAACAACCTGCATTAAAATAGAAATATTGTGTTGCATGGGGCGACTTTTTTCCAATCATAGTAAATAACATATAAATACAAGAAAATAGGAATAGATTAGCTGGTAGTGAAACATGTTTACAGGATTTATAAATTTTGTTAGATATTGTTATGTTGATCGGTAATTAAAACCGGCGTGGGTAAAACTCAACAATTTATTTCTCAGTAGAACTAGTTTACACGACTAACTATACAGCGATTATGCACGAAATAATTCCAACTCGACTGGAATCGATTTGAGTTTGACTAGACCCGATTTCTCTCAACACCGACTAGACTCGACTCGTTGACTGAATGAATCCTGTTCCTGATCCAATCATCCAAGATGGTTCCGGACGTCGCTTCAAGGTTTTTCTGGAGCCCGCCATCGAGACTTGCGACAATCCGCTCCGGGCGTTTCTTTATGCGAACGCCGTCCGGTTGTCGTCACCGATGATGAGTCACTCACATACTAGAAAGCCCTCGAGAAAACCCATAGGCGTTGTACCAGCGGTCGGTTGTAACGAGTAAATTTTAAAGTTCCGTTAAAACAGTCGGATATAGCGAGCTCCGATATAGCGAACAATCGAGTATAACGAGTAATATTTCGTCGAGAAAAGAAAAATAAACTCGGTTACTTGTTATGCATATACGTAAGTGTTACATTATAACACTTCTTAATTCTTCACACAAGATTGCTAATAATTCATTTACGGCAGTTAAATTAAATCATTCATACCGTGAACTGATGGGGAGGTTAAAATAATTTCTTCCCTTAGACGGTTATCATCGTTATTTTCATCGTTATCATGATTACATCACTGAGGCATGTCCTCGCAATGCTAAAGATTGATTACATCACCGAGACGCATTTTCCTCGCAACGTTAAATTTTACACCATCGAGGTATTTCCTCGCAACGTTAAAATTTACATCATCGAGGCGTTTCCTCGCAACGTTAAAATTTACATCATCGAGGCGTTTCCTCACAACGTTAAAATTTACATCGTCGAGGTATTTCCTCGCAATACTAAAATTTATATCACCGAGCCGCTTTTTCCTCGCAACGACGACTGGATATTTTTGTGTTTATTTATTATGTTTTGTTGGGGTAACAGTTCGTGGTATTCTAAACTCTCAAAGTAAATTGTTTTTTGAAGTAACCAATCTCTTAGAACATGACATAATTTGACAGAATGTAAACTCTTAGTTTGAATCATTGATAAAGTGTGGCAAGTATTAATCTCATGTAAATTTTGTTAAGTTTGCAATATTTCTCTAATCTCACAATTTTAACTTCAGTAATTTTTTTTGTTGTATAATTTTAATTGAACGTAAATTTCATGCTCTGTAGTTTTAACCTCAAATAATATTTTTATCTCTACAAGTCTACTTCACACTAATAGATCTTTTGTTTTTATAAATCTTTGCTAGTTTTGTTTTGCAAATATTTTGTTGATGAATGTTTCCATCGTATAAATTATCTGATGTCCCATTTTAATCTCACATAAGAATTATTTGTTGTTTAAAATTTCACAAGATTGTATAGCGAATTTAAATGTCGTTTATTACCCTTTTGAAACTTTAACACTTATTCAGTTGTCGACAATATTAGAGTCATAAGAAATTGAACATTTAAAAATGGAACTGAGGTTAAATAACACCGAAACACGTAGCAGAAGCATAGGGCGCGGCTCCTAGTGGGGACTAGCGGGATTTGTCGCGCCATCTGCATAAGGGGTGCAGGCTTTGCATAGAGTCAGTGAGAAAAGTCTGGACGATGTGAAGCTATCAGATTATTTATAGGCTTGACATTCCAACCAACAGTTTTCGACCGAAACGACCTGGTTAGCGCGGTACGTCTCTTCGTTAGATAGAGGGGTGCCGAGCGGTATTGCTTGCGATAGATAGAATCACCGTCGCGGGAGAGACCAGCCCGAGCCAGGAGCCCCAAACTCCGGTTATTCTATGGGTATTTTTTTGTGGTGCTCTTGTCAACTGCCATGATTTTAAATTTTGTATTTGCATCCAGTTACTTTAATTCAGATTTTGCTTTGTTTCTATTAAATTTGTGGTATTCAAACATTTGCATTGATTTTAAACATTAGGGTAGGGTTTTTGTACTTGTCTGGTTTTCATATGTGTATGTCTGTCAATTCGCGGGTGTTTTTTCTTTCATATTTTTAAGGTGTTTCATTTGAAATGTAATATGTGGGTGAATAAAATCCTAGGGGGTTTTTGGAGATGAAAAGCGGTGGCGACTCGGCCCTCCTGGGCTGTCAGAAGAGCACGTCCGAGTCACCTTCACTCGTCGCTTCTTTTCCTCCTAGGGAGGGGTGCGAATCTAGCTCCCCTCCCAAAAATTGTGTATATTATTTCTTGCGCGCTCTACTCGCACGCAGTGTATGCTCACTTGTGTGAAAGAACGTCTTCCCGCCACTTAAAAAAAAAAACACACAACGTAGGTTTCCATTTTGACGATTACAGCCAAGGCCAAATTTCGAATTTTTGAATTTTTCGCGCGCCTTTCAAACTTTTTCAAGTGTAAATTTAAGGCGGGAAGTTTGGGTTATTACAATGTCCAAATCGCTGAATTTCCCAGTGACAGGGAAATAATGCTTTTTGTGCAAGAGGAATATAAGGAAAGAGTCGAAGAAAGTGATGGTGAAGTTGATGGAAATAACGAAGAAAAGGTAATTTACCGACAACACAAGAGGCGCTTTCGGCATTAGATGTAGTTACACGTTATGTGCAATTAATATCTCCAGAAGATAAACACCTATTTGAAGTCTAAAAAATTGGTCTAAAAAGTTTAGACAGTACTTCCCTCGCTGTCGGAAACATGACGACTGCATGCCTATTATGTTTTTTTTTCTTATTACATTTTATTTTATTACATGCAATATAATACTAATAATAACAGTGTTGTATCTCCAAATTTTCGGGAAAATGGAGTGAATTAATCCTGATTTAATCAATTAAATAAATTGACTCATTCATTAATTTTTTTGAGCGACCTGTTAAGCAAATCTAAAAAAATGAATGGAATGATAAATCACAAGTATTGTCTCATCATACTTTGCACATTTAGGATATGAGTTATTCAGCAAAATTTTGAGGTGAGGTCATCAATTTTTTAGGGGGCGATGATAACTGTAAAACATCTCCAAGATTTCAAAGCATTCGGTTTTGTAGTTCCTGATTAAATCAGTTAAATAAATTCAGCCATTCAATAATTTTTTTGAGTCATCCTGTATATGCAAATCCAAAAAATATTAATGGAATTTTTGTTCAAGTTTGCCTAGTATAGTTTTGGAAATTTCATTCTACCCTATAAAATTTTATTGACGATAACAAGATGGACAGTAGTACAGTGGTAAGAAATACTTATTTATGGCTCTCACCAGTTCACTCGAATTTCCCTATTAAAGGCGGGATAGAATTTTTCAATTGGGGAATGTTGGACAACAAATTCTTTTGTTGCGTATTTGACCATTTCTATGGCGCATGTACGCAAGGTGCTGGTTAGCTGATTTTCAGTTTTGCACGAACCTTTAGGGAATAAAGTTGTTTCTATCGAAATCTCTCGCTCTGTGTCTCTCTCACACTCGAAACTCAACAGGGAATCCACTTACTTGAAGTTGGACTTATTTCACAATTATTTTTATCTTTACAGAGTAGAGGAATAAATGATCTTTGCGCCCTCCATACATTGTGTTTGATTGAGAGGCGCTGTTTCAACCTTGGGGTTCGCCACTTTGCATTTAAACGCATTTTGTTTATTCAGATTTCACTCTTTTGTTTATAACAAAATGCAAAGTTACTGGATGTTTTTACTTAAGTTATTACATCATCCACCCTTCGTAACTAGAGGTTGAAATTTTATTCATTTATGGCATTTAAACTTTTCAGATAAAGGACCTTAAAATATCTGCCAGTCAAATTAATATCCTCGTGGACTCGACAAACGGGAGGACTTTAATATTTTCTTACTGCGGCTTGAATTCGAACATTTATTCTTGTAGTATGCCGAACGTTTCAGAGGCCACCTTATTTTGATTTTGTTCGTATCGAATATGTTTTGTTTGTTTTATGGAGTTTCAGTCCACGAGTTAATCTGTGTATGTATTTTGATTTAGTCAATAACTTGAATTCATACATGATTAACACCACGTAAATTCTTTGTTGTTTAGAAATCTTACCATGGGGTGGGCTAACAGAAATTTGTTAGCTTTGCAGTTCCAATAATTCATTTCATCGTCAGAATTTCGGGAATACAAATTTCAGATTCAAATTCGGACAGTTTTGATTTGTTCCCAACTTGCAGTGACGGCCAAAATAAAGTAGGACACCACTCTTGAAAGGGTTTTTTCAAGAATTTTAATTGAATAAACTCGACTCAGTTGATAGGTATTCATTAACAATGACATTTAAACGTCAATACAAATTTGAAATTGACACTGGGGAAAGAAAAATGTCCTACTTTATTTTGGCAGCCACTGTAACTTCATAAAAAAAAAATCAGTAACAAAATAAAGGAGGTGAAGTTCCTCGGTCAATGCGGCGATGTTAACAGGGGGAATTTTAACGCAAGTTTGTATCGTAAACTTTTTTTTTTCTTTGTGAATGCCGCTGGGGTACCTACTTCTTCGTGGAGTGCGCTCGCCCTTTGGCCTGGTAGTCCGCAAAGAAGTGGATGATGCGATCACTTATGTAACAGCTTTTCACCGAGAGGATGAGCAGTGCAACGTAACGTAAGGTGAAAGGAGTATTTGCACCCAGTTACTTTTATTTAATTTTTTTTTGTCTTTTCATGTGTAAATTTGTACCTAATATTCAAATAATTGCACTGATTCGTAACATTTGATTTCATTTTATTTTTGTAAGCTAGAGGGTTTTTCAGAATGCCACCACTTTGCATTTGAACGCATTCCGCCATAAAAAAGTAAGGTTGTGTAATTTTGTACACGTCTGATTTTGGTAGGATGTTTACGTTATCACAGTACCAATTCAAAATTACGTACCTGATAAACTGCGCGAACGAGAATTGATTCAACAGCTTAGCCAAGTTACTTCACTCTCTTGATAACGGGCTTCGGGCCTGAGAGTCCATACCGGTCCAAACGAGACTATGATGTAGTAACAGCGTCGATGGTTTTTGCGTACCTATATACATATAGACCAAAATGTGAAGAACCATACAAAGCTGATGTTCCAATGACTGACATATCAACATGATTATGGATTCATTTTAGCACATATTTTCAAACTGAAATTATTTAAACACTGGAAAAGAAGCATCATGGTGGGGTGCGGTCTATGAAAGTATAGTCCCCTGCGATGTATTTCCGACAAAAGATGGGCACTTCACTTTAGGTGCCGGATCAGATTTACAATTCAAAGACCTGTGTAAAAGAATAGACAGACAATATCTTGCAGACACTGAAAAGTTTAAAACTAATCAACTAAGATCCATTATAGCTAGTAAGACGAAGAAAGAATGGGAAAAGATTTTTGAAGGCGGATCATTTCCCAATGGCCCTGTTAATACGCTGTAGTCAATTTTTGATGATCCTCATATTAAAGAAATTGGTTTGATAAATGTAATGGAGCATATATCTACTATAATTGTGGAAATTATTAATCTGTTTCCTAAATGTTTATTTGGATTTAAAGAGATGTAAGAGTGATTGTATTATTTTCATATTTTTACAGTTTTACATTAATTACTCACTTTCATTTTTTATTGCATTATTATTGCAAGACCATGAGATACCTGCACTCAAATTAAGATTTAGAAAACCTAAGAATGACAAGTAAGTTCAATGGACCACTGAAGTAGTAGATAACGAAGAGATGAATAAGAAAAATCAAAATATAAAAAACAACTCTCCGAGTGAATTCATTTACACAAAACCTACGAATTTTGATGAAAATGGTTGTCAAGATGAATCTGATAACGAGTCTGAGCCCGGTAAAGGCCACATAGAGAAAAATTGGTCGAAGGTTATTTCGAAACAAATTCCCTCGCTCCTGAAGTGCAACACATATCCAGCTTTTTCGAAAAATTACAAAATTTATAATGTAGTTATAATTTAAAATAAAGAAATATTTGTAATGTTAAAATAAATGTAGAGAAGCGTGCTACGCGTATGTTTCAAATGAGTTTTTCCCTTACAAAATTTTGTGATGACATCACCAACACAAGAACACTTGTATCAATTTGGATAGGTGCAGTGTAATACTAATAATGACAGTATTGTATTCCCAAATTTTTAGGACAATGGAGTGAGCCGTTCCTGATGTATTCAATAAATCAATTGACTCAGTCATTAACTTTTTCACTTTGTATACGCAACTCTAAAAAATATGAATGGAATGATAAATCACAAGTAAACATTTTGCACATTTTAGATGGGATTTATTTGGCAAAATTTGGAGATGACGTCATCAGTTTTTAGGGGGATTGTAAACGGATAATTTTTTTTTAATCTGTAAATTTTGAGGATGACGTCATTGGTGGTGGGGATGTTTAGACAAATTTTGGTCAAAGTTTTATCATCCACACGATATTTCTAATATATACACAAAATTTGACAACAATTGGTCCAGTAGGTTAGAAGATTATCTCTCTAATATAAATCGACACAGACGTGGACAGACGGCAGACAGACAGACGGAAACGAATGTTTTCGTGGGTATTCTAGGGGTCGCGAAAACATAAAAGTAGCGAATCGCTCGATGGACTCGATTACAATACTTCTTTACCTTACGCTCAGGAAGTAATAAAAAAAAAAAACACCCACGGAAGATCCAGTTCTGGAACGTAATGTCATGATCATAAAAGTTCCAAATAAAAGTTGTAGTATTTTCGAAGAAAATGTGCTAAACAAGATGACGTACGTTTTATTACAAAATTGACTGAAAAAATGTGACCTATATCATATTTAATTGTATACGTATGTAGGGAGACATTTATAAATGATATCACGTGTTTACTAGACTAGTTTGACCTCTTCTTTTAAAAAATATAGCCTTCTCCCCAGTATGATATAGCACAATGTATAAACAGTTTAGGATGAGCATATGAAATGTACATGGAAACGTATCATAATACGAAACACCTTACTCTTACCCTCCCAATTATGGTGTAACATAATTTATGATTTAAATCTTCCAAATCATAAACAACACGAATTTTGTAGTCTTGATTGGTAAAATTTTATGAAATTATTAGAAAAACAAAACAGTATTTGTTATTTTGACCATTCATCAGCAAATATTAATTATTACTGCCACAAAATAAATGAACTGTAATATTTAGCATTTATTTGTCAATTTTACACCACCTAACAGTGGTACTTGGAAATTACATGTTAGTAAAAAACATTCCTTTTGAAGCTGGACGGGACAAGAGTAAGTTAAAACTAGGAAAGTCAATATGCAGCATTGATAAACGATTAAATTACAAAACATTAATAAATATTTACAAATATAATATTACGAACGCAATACTCAGGTCCTTCTACCACACCTTTGAACCTTCAACTTACTATCTTTTGAACGGTTTTTTCTAAACTCGATTCCTGTTGGAAGACTCGCTCCACCACCAAATAAATTTAACTCTTTAACTTTTGATCTAGATCTCCATACTTTGATTGTATGATCGTCTGACGTTGTCACCAACATTTCGGGATCTTTTGGATTAAACGCGACTGAATTGACCACGTCTGCGTGAGGATATTTAACTAAACAAACGCCGTAATGTCTGTCCCATAGATAACCATGTTTGTCTTCGGCACCACTGAAACCAATGACACATTAAAAAATTGTAGGTAACGAAAAAACCATTACCTTGCAACATACTGATTACAAACGTCTAAAAATATAAAAAAACATTCACTGTTCGATGTATATGCTTTATGAGCTCTAAGCATGGTTCCTACTTGCTTTAGAGTTACCAGATCTATTACATGAATGTCAATTTCTTGAGCAATTGGAGGCGGATCCAGTGGATTTGATATTTTATATCCTTGAGGCCATGATCTGCTGTTTACGTATAGGTACCTATGATCGGGACTAAGTCCCATTCCGACAATATGTCCATGTAAATCTATTACGTGATCAATTTTGTCAAATCTATCAGCTACAGATTCAAAGTCCAGCCAATTTGGATCTGGAGGTGGTGAAGATTGTCTAAGTAATTCTTTTTTTCTTTCGCGTAATATTAAACGTTCCTTTAATGATGGACCTGGATCTAGACGTTTGGGGAAAGTAAACGGTTTTATCCTCTTGAATCCTAAAATGTTAAATATGATTGTATCTCATATAGGGAAGAATACTAAATATATTTTAATATAAAGTGGTTGCGTTATTTTTATGCTCGTTAATAAGTTTTTATTCTACACCAAGTTAATAGCTATTTTTGCTATAAGTTGCGAAATGGTAGTTTTACACACTAGACGTGAACTTTGTCCAACGAGCCCCTACGGCGAGAGGCGTAAGACCCATTTCGCACGTGTAGCAAACAAGATTTTTTCTACAACCGCAGCAAGATTTAAAAATAAACATTTCCAGTGACACTTCTGACAATTTAAAATTGACGCTTGACTTGGCAATATTTAGATTTTTATTGATACAACTTCAAGTACGGCACTAGTAACAAATGAAACATGTTGGTTGTCTAGTAAGAAATTGTTTATCAACAAAAAAAAAGTGCCGATTTTAATGTGAATGCAGTTTAATGTTTTATTCGATCAAAGAAGCAAGGAAACATTATAAAATTGTGTCTATAATTATAAAAACATCAGGATTGAGTGATTCCGAAATCCCATCCGACGTTGAACAAGCAGCTGAAGCCGCCCTAACAAGATTAATTCCTAAAAAGTCGAAACAAGTATACGAAGCAACCTAACCTACAATAAGTTTAACAAATGATATGATCAGAAAAAACTGTACTGCATTTCTGAAAAAGTGATTCTGGCATATTTTTTCGAAATATCCTTAACTCTAAAAGCGTCAACTTTATGGAATAACTACTCAATGCTTCGAACTACAATTTACGTGAATAAAATTATACATTAGTAAATACACAAACGTTATCGCATTCTTGAAAAGAATAGCTGAGGGTTACTGACCTAAAAAATCAAGAACATTTTCCAAAGAAGAAATAGAAATACTATTAATTTAAATAATTGTACTGTAAATGTTTATACTAAATAAAACGTTTTTGTAAATTATTGTTTACTTACAACAACACTGCGTAAAAGTGAGAACTAACATACTTTTTTGCCCTCCCGGAACCAAAATTGATATTTTAGTCACTGTAAATCGGGACTAAAGTGGCTCTTTTTGACCCTAGAGATAAAAGTGTTTCCATTACAACCAAACACTTTTTAACTTAAAGTGCTAATATAAGCACATCGAAAAATTCAAAATGACTCGTCTTATTTACACCTAGAGCCTTGGTTACCCGACACGGCCTACTATCGCGATTGATGATAGATAATTTCGAATATTTTCTTCCAGTTTAAAATCGAGTATCTATAGTCCCGAGAGGGAAAAAATAGTATATGTATAGTATACACCACAAGACTAAAGTGCGATATAATCCCCCAAGTGGTTATTGCCCTCGGTACCGCTCGGGCACTAATCTCCACTTTCGGGATTACATTGTGCACTTTAGTCTCTTGGTATATAATTATTATTATTATTATTATTATTATTATTTAGCCATCCTAACAGATAAACCATTTATAAGGATGGGAAAGAATTAAGAAAAAAAAAAGAGAGAAAATCTAATTCAAAATTATAAACGCAAACTTTTAATTTGGCGGATACTGCTGTTGAATAGGTCAAAATGATTTCTGTATAAATTATAGTTACGACACATAGTGACAATAGGTGAAAACATATGTACGTTTATTCTTGAAAATTCAACGTAAAAACATTCTGGATTTCTGGTATTAAGTCTAGGTACCAAGAAAGACAATTTTCCCAATAGTACGTCTGAATCAATTTTACCATTTACAAGCTTAAAGAGAAAACATAAAGACAAAATAACACGTCTCATTTCTAACCTCTGAACTGAGAAAATGGATAGCAGAGTATCATGAGGAAAACCTCTATCCGGATAAAAACCGAATGCTCTAAAGTGGAGAAATTTTAAAAATTTGCGTTGTAAATTCTCTATTTTGAGGCAGTGCGTATTATAACCGGGAGACCAAATAGTGCAACCGTATTCTAATTTTGATCTCACAAATGCAAAGTATAAACAGAGGAGAGTCTTGTTGTTCTGAAAATGCTTGCTGCTTCGAATTATGAATCCTAAAGCTTTTAGCGCTGATGCTACTATTGAATCATAATGTTCTGAAAATGATAACTTTGTATCAAAAATGATTCCCAAATCTTTAATTGTGACAAACCGTTGAAGCGCCGAGTCACTTACATGGTACATATAAATGCTATTATTATGTTTCAATGAGAACGTCATTACACCACACTTCGAAATATTTAGAGGAAGCCCTTCTTGGAGGCACATTACTTCAATTTTTCTTAAATCAGATTGAAGTTTAAGGTGGTCTGAAAAAGATGATATTTTTCTAAATACTTTCAGGTCATCAGCATATAAAAGACATTGAGAATCCAGATTAGATACTATATCATTAATGAACATAATGAAAAACAAAGGCCCAAGAATTGACCCTTGTGGAACCCCCGAGGTGACATGTATTTGATCCGAGTGGAAACCACTAAGAGTGACAGTTTGCGTTCTACCAATTAAATAGGATTTGAATAATTTGATAAATACATTTGATATACCGAAAGAGCTTAATTTATTTAGTAGCTTAAAGTGGTCTAATCTGTCAAATGCCTTTGAGAAATCGGTATAAATACAATCAACCTGGGCTTCAGTATCAAATGATTCTGCAACAAATTGAGTGAAACAACAAAGATTAGTCTCAATAGATCTACCTCTGAAGAAGCCATGCTGTAATGGGGTAATATATGTTTTAATATGATGAACAATAGCATTATGTAATAATGTTTCAAATGCTTTAGAAAAGTTACACAGCAACGTTATGGGTCGATAATTTCCTATTTCGCTTTTGTTTCCTTTTTTGAAGACAGGAAAAACGTATGACTCTTTCCAAAGGGTAGGATATATTCCAGAACTAATCGAAAGATTAAAGATAATCATTAATGGAAAAGCGAGGACGCTTGCACAATCCTTTAATAGAAAAGACGGGATGCCGTCAGGCCCAGATGTCATTTTGTTTTTCATCTTTTGCAGAATGTGGAGAACCTCTTCTTCACTGAAAAATTTTCTAAAAACTGAGGTACAGTGATAGGAGAAAATTGCACCAGAGGGATCAGATGGGATAAAAGATTGCTGAAAAAAGTCAGCAAATGAATTAACGATGTTTATAGGACCGTTTATAATTTTATTGTTGTACGTCATCGAATTCGGTATGAGATTTTCTTGTTTAAAGCTCTTAATATACTGCCAGAAAAGGTTCGGATCAGAAGGAATATTGCTTTCGATGTTTTGCATGTATGCGATATGGGACAGTTTGATCTCATTTTTAATCTCAGCTCTTAAATTTTTGAATTTATTATAGGATTCAACATCATTACTACGTTTATAAATAGCCCAAAGTTTCCATTTTAGCTTAAGTTTTTGAATAATGTGGCGATTAAACCATGGTGGGTACTGACGTTTTTTGAATCGTCTGCTTTTAGGAACTGACAACTCAAATATGTTGTTTAATTTGGAGTAAAAAAAGGAGCACGCAATGTCTACATCAGTACAGCTAGTAATAAAGGACCAGTCTGTGTTCAGGAGTAAGCTGTACAACTGATAAAAATCAGCTTTTCTGAAATTATAGGTTTTAAAATTGCCATTATACAAATATTTACCATGACACAACTTGAGGCAGTTTGTTTCAATTTCTAAACTCGGGTGATGGGCGTCTTCGTTAAGTAATACGTCACTAGCTTTCACAATTACACACTGCTTATCTGATAAAACTAGATCTAATAATCTATCGTAATTATTTGCAATATAATTATATTGATGATAATTAGTTAAATTTAAGAAGTAAAGAAGTGAATTAGTTTTTGAATCTTTTAATTGAGAATTTACTAAATAAGCAGAGTAACTTGGTATATTGAAGTCCCCAAGAATGATTATGTTATTACCTAGTAATGAACATAATGAGGAAAGAAGTTCAAAAAACAGTTCTACATCACCGGCACTAACTCTTGGGGCTGGAGGAACATAAACTACAATAACATTAAGAGTACCATGAGCCATGCAAATTTTTACAACCAATACATCAATTACTGGTAACGCACTAAAGTTTAAACTGTCAAGTTTATATTTGTGAGATCTTAAATTTGAATCTACAGCAAGAAGAACACCTCCTCCTCTTTCACAATCAAGAGAAGAATATTTGCGGTCACTTCTATAAATAACATAATTAGGACCGGAGATTTCAGAATTTTGAACAGTCTCACTCAAGAATGTCTCAGTAAAAGCAACTACATCATAGTGACAACTAGCAAGTGAATTGTATACATCAGTTAATTTGGTGTTAAGGCCTCTAACATTTTGATAGTAAATAAAGAGTACTTTGGAATTTTTTATGCAGATATTGCCAGAATTATCTGACAAAAATTGATTAGATGAACTTGAACGACGCAAGGAAGTTACCCTGGAATCATCACGTGATTGCTATATTGGCAGTCCAAATAAATCTTGTTTTATTTTTTGGAGGACTTGCTGGTGTGCCCCGCATTTGCTATAATCCCAGGCCGCGTGGTTAACGTTAATTTCACTGTTTTTATTTTTAATGTTTAGATTATTACAATTTACACAAGTAAATGAATCTGTATCTGAATTGCAATCCTTAAGACCGTGATTACCACCACAACGAGGACAAGAAACCGTATTTTTACAATATTTCTGAGCATAATATACTATTATGCACTCGTATGTCACTTTTACGCACTTGTGTCTAAAAACGTGTCATTTCGAAATTAAAATAACAATAAAAATGTCCGCTTTATATAGCGATTGTAGAAAAAATAAGATTTTCTTGCGTCAAGAGGGCCGTGAAAGGATAAGATCGACTATGTAGCCAAGAAAATTAATGAAATTCCATGAATACTAAACTTGCAAAACTCTTATTTAAAAAAAGACTGAAATATCAAACCAATGAATATTAATGTTAATATTTCAAATAATTAATGTAATTAACTTGAATAATATGTACTGCAATTTTTTTTTGTTGAATATTTTTCATTTTCTGGTGTAGGATAAAAAATATTGTATGCACTACGGCGGGAAGTTGATTTTCCGGGTCTCAAGAAACGGACAGCCTCACCTGCGCTCCCTGGCCATATTGTTTTTACAACCCGGAAAACCCTTACTTTCTGGCCTTGGTATACAATATACTACTACTTATGGAGATGTTCTAAAAAATTAAGTTTTAAGCTTGAAATGGTTCAGTTTACAATGACTTCAAAAAATCTAAGAAACGGTTCGTTCAGTTTCTATTATTTATGAAAATAGTAGACGCGTGCACATCATAAATCCATATACCGCGTGTCGCAATTTACGGGTTTATATCATTATATCTCAGTTATTTAAATTTTAGAATGGTTAATTAACACAAAGACATCTATAAAATGAATATTAGCGTAGAATTATATCAATTTTGATTTTTTCGGACGATGATTTAACTTCTTTTAAATTATAATAGGATTTCTTTTATTTTTACTTCCTGAGCGTAAGCGAAGAAAGTATTGCAATCGAGTCCGTCGACCGACCCTCTACCTTTATGTTTTCTCGACCTTTCATGACCCCTAGAGTACGAAGAAATAAGTCTCCCGTTTTTGTCTGTCTGTCTGCCGTCCCGGATTTTTATTAGACAGATAATCTCCGAAAGTACTGGGCCGATTGTTGTCAAATTTTGTATTTATATTAGGAATATCATGTAGATGCTAAAATGCTAACCAAAATTTGTCTAATTATCCCCACCAATAATGTGATGACGTCACTTCATAGTTACACATAGTAAATGGGTTTTAAATTGTATGAAAAAACATAGTTCTACACCTGTATAGCGTTTTTACCCGAAAAGTCCAGATTTTTGAAAAAAAAAAATCAAAATTATTAAACAACAGTTTGCAATTCAATTGTGAATCTGCAAAACCGAATGTCTTGAAATTTTGCACATGTTTTAAAGTTATGATAAGCATGATAAATTTTTAATCAAAATATATTTACTTGTCCTCTCCAAAAAATTGATGACGTCAGCTCAAAAGTTTGCCGAATAAATCCTATCTAAACTGTACAAAATATGATGAGTCTGTACTTGTGATTTATCATTCCATTCATATTTTTTGGATTTGCATATACAGGATGGCTAAAAAAAATAATGAATGCGTGAATTTATTTTATTGATTTAATCAAGAACTACAAAACCGAATGCTTTGAAATCTTGGAGATTTTTTAAAGTTATCATAAGCATGGTAAAAATTTGATCAAAATGTGTTACTCTTCCCCCCTAAAAAATTGATGACGTCACCTCAAAATTCTGCTGAATAAATGCCATCTTAAATGTGCAAAGTATGATGAGTGATACTTGTAATAATTTATCATTTCATTAACATTTTTTAGAATTGCTTATGCAGGGTGATTCCAAAAATGAATCAGTCAACTTATTTTATTGAATAAATCAATACTTTGAAATCTTGCAGACGTGTTAATGTTATTGTAAGACTGGTGAATTGTTAATCAAAACACATCTGTTTATTCCCCCCAAAAAATTGATCTCAAAATTTTGCCGAATAAATTCTACCCAAAATTTGCAAGATATGATGAGTTTTTACTTGTGATTTATCACTGTATTCACATTTTTTAGTTTTGCTGAAACAGGTGGGTCAAAAAAATAATGAATGAGTCAATTTACTTTATGGATTAACTCAGAAAATTTTGGAAATACAATACTATTATTTTTATTATTACAACCACCAATCCAAGTCGATATACGTGTCCTTGTTGTTTTTCCTTGCACTGGTAATATGCTGTGAGTACTTGTCTTTTGTGCTGTCACTAGTATTACCCATGTTATGACATCGTCACAAATTTTTATTGGTCAAATTAAGAATGAGTCACCCCATTTTCTCGAAAATGTGAAGAACACGCACGTCTTTATACCTATAATAATGATAAAATAAGAATTATAATATTCAGAACATTTTGTTCGATTGTGGTTTCATTCATAATTTTAGTCCTGTGTTTTGAGAGGTCAAACTCATTCAAATCAAACTAATTTCTACGTGACATTCTTTCGATGTATAAATACAAATAAACACTTGAGCGTCACATTGCTATTATAGTGTTGAAGGACAAGGGTTGTTAGAGATGGGTTATTTTAAGTTCAACATGGTGAGTCATCAGAATCTGACAACGGACTGTCAGTCACATGCACACTTCAGAATCGCAAACAATAACACACGGAAACGTAAACTTAAGTGAACTGGTCAACATGCTAGTACGAATGCAGATGAATCTGTTAGGTACTAATCTAAACAGGTACAGGTAGCCATCGCAAGAAGAAAAGTTCACTATGACAAAGAAACGATCACGGACGCCTCTGAGGGTGCGCCCATTCGAAAATGCTGGATATATTTCATTGTACTTCAGGAGAGTATAGTACTTGATACGTAACTCGTTTGGTTTAATGCTTTAAAAAATCTTAAATAACGACGCCTCAGTATATATGTTCCACATTAATACCTTAGTTACTTGAAAACATAGAAGACTGCAATTTGCAATGGCGAATTAATAACGCGTATCCTTCAAATGAGTGTTGTTCTTCACAAAATTTTGCGATGTCATCATCAACATTGTTGCAAGGACATGTGTATCCACTTAGATGGGTGCAGTGTAATATTAATAATAACAATATTGTATTCCAAAATTTTCGGGAAAACAGAATGATTTAATCAATAAAATATATTAACTCATTCATTAATTTTTTTGAGTCGGCCTATATACGCAATTATAAAAAATATGAATGCAATGATAAATCACAAGTATAGACTCATCATATTTGCATATTTTAAATACGATTTATTGGTCAAAATTTTGAGATGTCGTCATCAATTTTTTGGGGTGATAAACAAATGTATTTTGATTAAAAATTTACCATGCTCCACGTTTGCAAGATTTACCGATTAAAAATTAAATTGCAAAATGTTGTTATACAAACAGCCAAGACAGACAGGCGGAAACAGGAGACCTACGTTTTAGTACTCTAGGGGTCATGACACATCGAGTCGCCCGATGGACTAGATTACAAAACATATTTTCCGTAGCTTACGCTCGGGAAATAAAAACCAAGAAGATAGTAGCGGAGAATTTGATGTTTCTTTCATTCCTCTGTGCTTTTGAAAAATTAATTGGTGTTTGGGAAACATTTATGTGAAAAGTAGGCCCCAAAATTAATAACTTTGTTTAAACTTGTCATGTGAGTTTATAAAAATTAAACCAAAGTCATCTTCTTAATTTTTCTTTAAATTTCAACATGATTTTAAAGCGTGTTGTAAACGAAATACACACCACAAAGATGTTAAATCAATGACAAAAAAATGCAACACTTAAAAATATGTCTTATTCCATTTGAAAAGAAAAAGGTGATATCATTTCCGGAAAACCAAAGTCGATATAATACTAGTAGTATATTTATTTAAGTTATTTTTTTGTGTTGTTGCTATTGGTAGTACAGTGTGCCTATCAAATCTGGTATTATCTGTCGCCACTAAAAAGTTGATGACGTCATCACACAATTTCATAATTAATGAAAATCTCACTTAAAAGATACAGCATAGCATGCTGCTTTATCTATAATTTAAAAACCACCCCATTTTAAATTTTAATATACCATAAAAAAATAAAATTGAATAAAAATTTATAATTTTTCTAATAATAAACTCAACTATTAGTTCAATTGACTGTAGTTCAGGGGCGGGGGAACTTCTGTTTAACTAACTTAAGACACACGTTTTAATCCATGAAGAAAAATAAGTAGTATAGGTAGCATTATGTTTAATCATCAATTTCACTAAATATTCATTAAAAAATTATTTATACAGGGTCCGTAAAAAGTCCTGGGACTGTCAATTAGCTTCGTTCTTCGTTATTAGCGAAACGATTTTTTTTAAATATGTATACCATGTAGTATCTGATTACAATAAAAGAACTTAGCGATGACAATTTTTTTCACTTCCAGTTTAATCAGAAACATAACCAAACTAGCTGTATTACCATTGTTCAAGGTTATATGCCGGGTGACTATTAATGATTGAAGCAAATTTTTGTGTTGGCAATTCGTAATTACTGGCATCCATACTAGTACGTCAGTTCATAGTTCTCAGGCACGCCTAACCAGCTGTCATAAATATCATTAGCAATCAGACATGCCATCATAAAATTTTAAACAGGTTGCCGACCTAACAAAAAAATCACAAACATTAATGGTCACTCACGGTATTTAAACAATGGTATTATTTATTGACCTCAAGTTACTTCTTACCGATTTGATGTGGTGTATATGTTTTGTATCCAGTTGTAAAGATTAAATATTTATCACTTCTTGTCAGTTGTTCTCCTTCTTCTTCAGAACTCTCGTCTTCAACCTCATCTTTACCAAAATCATCTTCTTCAAAATCATCATCCGAATCCTCTAAAAGTTCATCACAAAACTCAGATTCTACTTGTCGGTAGTCAGAATTATACCAAATGGGATTCCCCAGATCTACATTCGAGCTTTTGACTTTTGAATTATCAACAGATACAGACGCTACAATTCATACTACTAGTTGTACAAAGCTCTATACTAAACTCATGTTTATACCTGAGTCATGTGTGCATTGAACTGCATTAATATCTCTATGACTGACAGGATTTCCATGTTCGGGTGGTTGACGTCTGTCTTCAAAGAAGAAAAGTTCTTCTTCTTGTACTTCATCCCCTGTAGCAAATTCAGAATTTGGAAGACATTTTGCAATCATTATTGCTCTAATTGAACTTGCATTCCTATTATAAAATCTAAACATATTATGGGTTATAGGAACATGTTCAGATTCCGCTTCTTGTGAAGCCTTGTTCAACCATAATGATGAACTACTCACTAAGTGTGCCAGCCAATGGAGATCTCCTGAGAGTAAATGTTGATCATTGTACCATGTACCATAGATGTCATAAGGTTTGTTGACTACACGACATTGCAATTCAAACCCAGCTAGTAAATGCAAATAATATGTAAAAAATTGTGGTACAGTTTATAAATTCATACCCATTAAATTAAAAACAGCAATTTCACCAGAAGTGCTATGAGGTGTACCAAAGTGAACTCCTGACACCAGCAAAAGAGTATCGGATTCATTAAACTGAGAATACTGAGTGTATTTCCAAGAAAAACTATTCATATCTCTTGAATATTTGATTTCCACAGGGTATGTGGAATTCCAAAGCTAGAAAGAATATTGGGAGTTCTGTTTAAATTCTTTTAAATTAGTAAACATTACCAGAACATAACCATCTTTGGAGCAAGTCGCAAAATATTTACCATTATGCGAAAAACTGACATGCAACACTTGGTGTCTATGTTCATTACAAGTCTCTGTTTGGACTACAGGAACATTGTAACATAGTCTTTTGAATTCTTCATACCACGTTTTACCTAAAACCACTTTATTTTCGCTGCCTATTTTACTAAATTTATACCTTACCAGAAATAATGGGAACAGATTTATCAATACCAAAGTGTAGAAAAAACAACTTTTTCCAGAGAAAATCATCTCGACTAACTTCATACCATGACTGACAAACCTCACTAGCTGACAGCAGGTCCTTATAATCTAAATGTTGAAATATTTTGTACAATGCGGGGAACGGTAAGAAAGTCCACATGGTACCCGCTAAATTACTCGCCCTTTAATAAGTTTCGTTATCCAACAAATATGTCAACACAACCTTAAAACGTCAAAACAAAAACATCTGATTTACGTCAACGACGTCAACTCTCGTCTCGTACGATCGTAAATACGAAGCTGAGGAATGTGGGCGAAGTTGTACGAAGATATGCGAAAATAGAAAAAATCAAATCACCATAAACGTTAGACTGGGAGAAGTCTATGGGAGAAGTTTTTTCCATATTTTTCTAAAATCCATTTGTCATTTGTAAAAAGGTGGAACTACAATATCGACAACAAACTTTAATAAATACTACATATAAATAACATATTAGATCTAATCGAGGACTCGTTACAAATCATACTTTTTTTATTTCTCATTTTAATCATAAATCACACGGAAAATTTGACCAGAAAAAAAAACTCGCGAAATCGCCTTTGAAAAAAAAAAATGCAATGACGTAGGCAATCATCCATGTCTAGTGCGTTTAGACACAGTAGGTTTAGAACTTGAGGAACTTCTTGTTTTCGTGATGCTAGTAGCGAGTGTGAACCTGTGCTAACGAGGATACGTTAAATTTTGTTTGTAATTTTATCAAAGGGCAATTGTTAAATGAATCGTATTCGGTGCCACTGTCCCCTTCAAGGAGTGTAATTTGTATAACTACTGTGGTGACCGAATTTAAATCAAAATTTTCGCGCATAAATTAATTAACTAATTAATAGCGGCGTGAAATCACATTTGAATAATTTGAATTTGAAAGAGAAAAAAAAATTCAATCACAAAAAAGAAATCGTTAAACATATGCAACCAAATATGCACGTTGGGGTTAATGCACGTAGGGGTTAGTTCTGTATATTTAGAGGAAGCCTTTGTTTAACGAAAATTAATCGTAGCGATAACGACACAGCTTTCCCCCAACCGTGTAGCTAATTCTTGCGGCCTTTTAATCGGAAAAAAGCGCGGACTTTTGTTCAACGCGGAACAGGTGCTGTAAATTTGTTTCATTGTTTGTAAATTCACCAATCAAGTTAGTTTTTCTTCATCGTCAGCTAGTGTTAACACAGTTTAACAATCAGGATTATTTAAATAAACCATTTGCTAGAAGATTTCATGAAATTCACTTGGTCAGGATAATAATTCTTTGTTTTACAAACTACGAATAGGTTTCTGGATGCATATATGTAAGTGTTACATTATAACACTTCTTAATTCTTCACACAAAATTGCTAATAGTTCATTTCCGCCAGTTAACTTAACAAAATTCATACTGCGAACTGGCAGGGGGTTAAAATAATTTCTTCTCTTACGCGGTTGTCATCGTTATTATCGTCGTTATCATGATTACATCACTGAGGCATGTCCTCGCAACGCTAAAGATTGATTACATCATCGAGGCTTGTCCTCACAACGCTACAGATTGATTACTTCATCGAGGCATTTCCTCGCAACGCTAGAGATTGATAACATCAACAAGGCTTATTCCTCGCAACGCCAAAATATACATCATCGAGGTATTCTCTCGCAGCGATAAAAAAATTACATCACCGAGACGGTTTTTCCTCGCAACGATGATTGGGTATTTTTGTGTCTGTTTATTATGTGTTTTGTTGGGGTAACCAGTTCGCGGTATTCTAAACTCTAAATTGTTTTTTTTAAGTAACCAATCACTTAGATCATGACATAATTTAACATAATGTAAATTCTTTGTTTGAAACGTTGATAAAGTGTGGCAAATATTAATCTCATGTAAATATTGTTAACGGATAAATTATTTGATGTCCAATTTTTATCTCACAAAAATTATTTGTTGTTTAAAATTTCACCAGATTGTATGGCGAATTTAAATGTTGTTTAGTGCTCTTTGAAACTTTAACACTCGTTCACTTGTTGTTAATATCAGAGTTATAAAGAATTGAACATGTAAAATGGAATTGAGGTTAAATAACACAGAAAACGTGGCAGAAGCGAAGTGCGGTTCCTAGTCGAGCTAGATTCAGGGGCGGTTGCGATATTGTAGTTCTCTCGGTTTGGCCCAATAGTCGAGACCTAACTGCGGATCTGCGATTGTAATGGCCTAGTTTCGGACGGCATGTTCGTCATGGAGATGTGCTGTGTGGGTAGGCTTGCGATAGATAGAATCACCGTCGTGGGGGGAGAACAGCCCCGACCGGTAGCCCCAAACGCTGCTTGTGCTAGAACGCCCTAGGGATACTTTTGTTGTGCTCCTGTTAACTGCCGTAACTTTAAAATCTGACGCCACACGCCCGTAATAACTTGTGTATTTGCATCCAGTTACTTTAATTCAGATTTTGCTTTGTTTTGTTTTGTTAAATTTGTGATATTCAAATATTTGCATTGATTCCAAACAGATGTATAGGATTTTGTGTTTGTTCGTTTTTCATATGTGTGTGTCTGTCAATTCGCGAGGAGTATCTTCCTAATGGGGTACAGGGCGCGAAGTGTCCTGTGTCCAGTAAAAAAGTTCCGCTTGGTGTTCCACAAAGTTCAATATTAGGACCTGCGTTCTTTCTTACACAGGTGCTCTATTTAACCCTCTACTTTAAAAGAGAGGTGCTATAACTTTGACCCTTTTGTCCCTCTCTCTGTCTGTCTGTGGCACTATAGCTCCTGAACGGATGAACCGATTTCAATGCGTTTTTTTTTGTTTGAAAGCTGGTTTAATTGGAATGTGTTGCTAATTCAGAAATATTCAACAAATAAAAGAATAGTCCTGTACATCCCTCACCACGTTTTGAAACTTTCTCGCATTCACCCTAGACTGATTCAATTTGAAATACATCTTTACTTCGCCTTTATAACCAAGGTAAATTTATACGAGTATTCAACTTAATGCCACAGAATCGACATTTTTTAACCGATTTGATCACCATCACGACTCGTGAAAATTGAACTTTTCATCAGTGGCGGCTCGTGACCTTTTGAAATGGGGGGACACAATTTGATTGATGAGTTAAATATGAAGATATAAAACAGGTGCGAAACCAAATTGTGTCACGGAAATAAATATAAAAGTACATTCAATAAAAGTAAAAAAGGATTTGTCCACATACCTTTTTGCCTTCGGTCAAAATTTTACGTTGATAGAACCTAAAAGTTCATTTTGGACAGTTTTGGACGTTCCTTTAAAAATCGCTTCTTTCAAATGATCTGATAAAGCAGAGTCTAATTCAGCCGTAAAATCAATCAGACCTCGAAATATACCTGGATTTTGTGGTTCCCTACTTTCGTCATGACCATGTAAAGCAAGTTCAAACATTCCACAAAATATTTTGTACATTAATCGGCGTAATATATAGCGATTTTTGTCGACCTTTGCGTTATGTGCCCGAATATTATTAACATAGGCGGTGTTTAGTTGTTTTATCCAATAATATGTATCATACCTGTTTTACGTCTATCTCGCGTAGCATGAAAATTAAAACCCGCGATTGAGTTACTCCTGCCGAGCACTATCAGAACGGGACCGCAGTCTCATTGACTGAAATGGCTAGGCTAGGCCGTGTGGTTTCTATGGCAACAGTGTAAAGAAAACGCTTAAATCAGCCAAGATTCTGGTCTCTGTGCCCGGCTTTTATCAGCAATAACATATCATATATCCAAGACACACATCTTTAGATGCAAGTGGATGTAAGTTTTGATACATTTTATATAAGTGGAGCGAGAAAAAAAAATCAGTTTTAATAATTATGACACAAATTTCCGGAAGTTTTAAATATTGAAAATTACTGTTTTGCTATGTCCAGTGTGTTTGTAAACGTTGTAATTTTGGGGAAGCACGTGCGCTTGTGCCCCCCGGCTATTCATTAAATGTTGTATATATAACCTTTGGTACCGGTTTTTCTTTGGCATATTGTACGATACTGTATAATATCGGAATAAAACACAAAATGTTGGATCAATTTTACATACATTTATTCAATAATTATTGTCTTCAGTTATTGAAAATGCACTTATAACAAATAGTTAATTACAAACAATGCGTTTTTATTAGAGGGCATTTATCAAACGAGATTCAGCACATTCAACAGCAACAAATGCCATCCAATAAATTTGAATTTCACGATTATCTCTTAAAATTTAGGCATTTTATACAATTTATTTATTATATGATATTTCCACATGTTTAGTGATTTTAGTCTACATGAGAAAAAGAAAATTTTAAAGCACTTATAAAACATTTTATAGCCTAGAACTACATATATAATTATACTTTATTGTTAATCACCATTGCTGATACGTTTTTGTTTCGTTTTGTAAAATCACATTGTATACAATTTCATTAAGAAAACAAAATAATAGGTACAAACACTAAATTAATTATAATATGAAAATGTAAAGCGAACATATGGACAAAAAAGCACAGAAGGATATAACTGGAATCAACAAAGCCTTTATTCATAATAAATTGTTAATAGCACCATTAAAAATTAAGTAACTACACTAAAGAGAATCGAAATATGAAATTTATTTCACAAATTACACATTGGACCTTATTTTTTATGTACCCTTTTAAGTATACATTGCTCTTCAACAATTATTTTCTTACTAAGACTATTCCTAAAATGGCACAATTTTTTTTTAAGACAAAATCATGTAAAAAAGGTTATAGTATATAAAAAAAAGAGTCGACCAGAAAAATGGCAGTTAAAAGAACAATACAGAAGCATATTCCCTGAAGGAATAAATAAATCAGCAAAATGCCAGCTCATGCTGGCCTGCCAGCATTTTGCGAACTTGTAATGATCTTGAATAAAATCAAATGAACACAAAACAGTGAACACTTATTGGATAACTTAATTCGACTGCTCCTTTTTCTTAAACTTAGAAACTAATAGTCGTTTTCAATTCACGAGGTCGTTTTCGTCAAAGTCGTCTGTGTCATTCAAGCTAAAACAGATAAATTAACACAATCAGTAAAATATTTCATATTTTAAAAATGGATTTACATAAGATGATTTTTCACGTTTTGCGGGTTTAAAGAAACAGTAAAATTTGAAGTCATAGTCAAAGACTTTTTAAGAATACTCTTACCTATATATACACAATCCACGAAGGTCGCATATTGGATAAAAAAAGCATCAGTCTATATCATGTACTTAACGGTAATAAAATATTTACCTTTAAATTGCTTATTTATGTACAATTTTAGATATTAATGTATCTAGAATTGAACTAATTTACATAACCATTTGGAAATAATACGCTTGGACATTTTTTGATATGTTGTAACTTTAGAACAAATTCATTCTTCATTAATAGTCTATTGTCTAGCACATGAAGTTATTGCGATGATTTACGTAATAAAATGATTAAATTTATTTAGTCAAATGTCTGTTAGAAGAAACTGTATACAACACAAGTAAATGATATGATAAAAATTAAGTCGGGGACGTTGGTGTGACATACTGGAGGGTTTTGGATGGATTATGTTCACAGGAGGAGGTTCAACGATTTCATCAAATTGATCTGAATCAGTAAAAATTAAAGAGGACGGAATCCATCGTATCCTATCAGTCAAGCAGCGTGAAAAGTTAATCGTTAAACGTGTTAAAACATTGTGACCACATCGGGTCGACTTACCTAGAACAAGGTTTTACATTTACTCCAGAAATAGCTTTTACTCCCAGGTCGAGTGTTTTGTAATTTTGCAATTCAAAAGCGTGAATGCAACCATCGAAACCTTGCACAAATTTATTGCCAGTCATCAGTCCAATGTTGGGTGTGCCGCCCAAGTAAATGTTGCCAGTGCAGCTCAGGGTAGTGGTGAACCCAGGAGATTCGTCAGAAGTGACATACGCATGATCTACTTCAACTGAGCCTTTCTTGCCCCTACGCTTCAAGATGGCGCTGTGTCTTTGTCCATCATCCACTCTGACTTGATTACTTCTTAATACTACAGGACCTGATCCTAGGTCGTAACTGAATTCCAAATAGCCGTTAACAACTGAAATCAATGAATATTAAGTGTTGAAGTATTTAGAGCTTTTATGAAACTTACCTCCCAAGGAGATGTAGTTCTTGCCTTGGCCATCTTCATTCGGGGTTTGTCCGTGCCAGAATATCAATCCGTTACTCGAGTTTGTAGACAACTCGACAGCTATTACTTCTTCTTCATTCTCGGAGATTGAATCGAGAAGATATCTGTCGAATTCCAGGTAACCCTTTCCATCGAAGTGTGCATCGTTCCTCAGTTGGACCCCTGATAGAAATTTATGATAAAAAATAATACCAGTAATAATAATGTAAAAAGAATCATTAAAATTGATACAATTTTTAAAAGTTAATTTGTAAGTCGTAGAGGTTTTTAATTCCAACTTCGTTTTTCTAGTCGCCTAAAATGCTGGTCGTTTAAATTCAGTATAATAATGGATCTTTATTTTCCAACTACACATCAACGACAACGAAACGAATCGTCTGTGACAAGGATTAAGATTTTCAAAATATGTTACCCATACTAAATTTTCAATATACGCTTCTTTACTCATTTACTCTCCATTAGACATACTTGAGGTACCAAAGAAACGTCTGAAATCTCTGGTTACACTGGATGCATAAGTGACGTGAGATTTTACTAACGTTGCTGGGTCAACAATGTAACTTCTTGGTTGATATAAATCTACAAAATAATAGAAATCGCTCTACTTAACCCCATATTTCATATTTATTCTCTTTCTTGACAAAATTTAATAGAACTAATTTAAGTGTACATGTTTGGGTGTGATTTCTTGTTCAGTTATTTATATTGTCATGAAGTTTAACAATATGTTGTACTTAAGACGAAACTGTCAACACCGTCATGAAATTGAGGGACGTTAGCAAAAATGTTTCGGAGTTTTGGTTGTGAATATCAATAAGAGAAAATCAGCAGCTGATGGACGGCGCTATTTTGTGTCAAATATTCAACGAAATCGGGAAAACGTTTGTGTTGGCATGGCATGGTTCACGAGTGTTCGTAGTGTTGTTGTAGTGTAGTGTAAGCGCGGCTTTACGAGAAAAAAGAGGTAAAGCCAGCTTTAGCAATAAGTATAATAATGAGGTTAGGTTTAAGACCTGTACGCTTGAATGTATGAAGAATCGTAGAATAAACAACTTTAAACAAATAGAGATTTCCTATAAAAGTTAATATACAACATTGGCGACGAGGAAAATCGGAGAAAATAGAAAAAACGCGGCAGAAGACGGGTAAATCCAAAAACAATCATTGTGTTACACGTGGTGACGCAACAAGAAGATGACGCTGATCGGCTCTATCGATAGTTTTGATCCAAAAGTGGACAATTGGACATTGTACCAAGAGCAGCTGGAGGAATTTTTTAACGTAAATGGAATAGTAGACACCCCAGCAACAGAGGGTCAAACAGAGTCGAAGAAAAGAGTGCCAGCTTTATTGAGCCTGATAGGAAAAGAAACCTACAAAACTCTACGAGATCTCTGCACACCGGCGTTACCAAAGGATAAAACCCATGAAGAATTGTGTACTCTGCTAAAGAAACAATTTTCACCCAGTACATGTATTTTCAGGGAAAGAATTGAGTTCTACGAAGCACAACAACAAGACAATGAAACGGTAAAAGAATGGTACGCTAGAATACACAACCTAGCGGGAAACTGCGAGTTTGGAAACGAGCTCACGTTTGTGCTAAAGGACACATTCATCTGTGCTATGAAAAGGAGTGTCATCCGAGACAGATTGTGTGAAGAGTCCCCAACCACAACATTACAGAAACTACTGGAGATTGCACAAGCAAGAGAAGCAGCTCTACAAAGCCAGAGTGACTCCGTCAACACAATAAGAAGGGTGCCACAGACCAAAAAGGATACACAACAGGAAGGGAAATCTCAAACAAACAATAATGAGGCAAGAACATCTAAGAACACATTCCAGCCATTCCAGAGAGGGAAGTGGAACTGCAGGCGATGTGCAGGAACCCATACTGGCCAACAGGTGTGTAAATACAGAAATTACACATGCAACATTTGTAAAAAGGTGGGACATTTAGCAAAGGCATGTTTCAATAAAAATAAACAAAATTTGGTAGAAACAGGCGTAAATAGCATTAGTTTTGTTAATAACAGCCCAGTTTATTGTAACGTCAATATTAGTGATAAGGAAATACAAATGTTAGTAGATAGTGGCGCATGTACATTAATAATTTCAGAAAAAGATTTTAAATCTTATTGGCCAAGTGCCAAGTTAAAATATAATAATAGGCAGTTAAAAACATATTCAGGGCAGCCAATAAAAGTTTTGGGTACTTTCAACGCATGTATACAGTACAAAAATGTAAAATGTGAAAATTTCGTTTTTTTCGTTATCGACAAAAGAGACGGTAAACAAAGTATGCTAGGGAGAGATTTTATAAACAAATTTAAATTCGAATTAGTTTCAGAATTTGACGAAAAAAATGAAGTCTTATCGGTTAGCGAAACTAATATTGTTAACGAATTCCAGGAGGTTTTTTCAGACGGATTAGGTTGTTTCAAACAACACACATTCACGTTAAAATTGAAAGACCAATTCCGACCTATTTTCCTTAAACCCCGCACAGTTCCTCTTGCATACAAAGAAAAAGTCGAAACAGAATTGAATCGTTTGGAAAAAGAAGGTGTTATTGAGCCGATTGAATCCAGTGAATGGGCCACGCCATTGGTACCAGTGATGAAAAAGGATGGAACCCTGAGATTGTGTGGCGATTACCGAATCACAGCAAATAAATGGTTCGAAGAGGTCAAATACCCTTTACCAACACTCGAAGAAATGTTTTCAAAGTTAAACGGAGGCGAGTCATTTTCTAGAATTGATCTCAGCAACGCGTATAACCAGTTGGTGGTAGACGAGGAAACGTCAAAAATACTCACTTGGAACACACACAAAGGGTTATACCGGGTGAAACGGATCCCATTTGGAATAACGCCCGCCAGTGCGATTTTCCAAAGAACCTTAGAACAAGTCCTTCAAGGCATAGATAGAGCAGCAAACTTTGTGGATGATATTATCATCACGGGAAACTCAAGGGTGGAACACATAGATACTTTACGCAAGGTGTTTCAACGACTAAAAGATGCGGGATTAAAAGTTAAATTGTCGAAATGTACATTTTTTGAGGAAGAATCAACATTTTTAGGTCTAAGAGTTACCAAGGAAGGTCTAAGAAAAGACAGTGAAAAAGTCAAGGCGATACTAGATGCCCCAACACCGCAAACAATGACACAGGTTCAAAGTTTTGCAGGAATGGTCAACTATTATAGCAAGTTCATACCAAAATTAGCGATATTAATGAAACCTATGTATAATCTGCTAAAAAAGAACGTACAATTTCGCTGGTCCGCGGAATGTAGTCTAGCTTTTAGGGAAATAAAAGCGATAATCGCGTCAGACGAAGTGTTAACGCATTTCGACCCCACTCTACCAATAGTACTCACAACCGACGCATCAAAGGACGGTATTGCGGCCGTATTATCACACCAAATAGATACTGGTCGAAAAAAAACGATTGTTTTCATCTCAAGAACGCTAAGCAAAGCAGAAAGCAACTACGCCGTAATCGACAAAGAAGCTTTGGCGATTTATTGGGCTACTAAAAAATTAGCATATTATCTGATGGGAAACAAGTTTGTCATAGAAACTGACCACAAACCATTAGTATCAGTCTTCGCGATGAACAAGAGAATTTCTCAGTCCTACTCAAGTAGAATGCAAAGATGGATGCTACATTTGGCAGGTTTCAGCTATGACATTAAATACATAAAAGGGCAAGAAAATCATGTCGCGGACATGTTGTCAAGGCATCCGCTACAGACAACTGAAGAAGAAGACAATCAGGAAGAGTCAAGCAACCAGTTGAACCTGATTGTGACAGAAGGGATTCCAATAGATTCAAAAAGAATTGGTATAGAAACTAGAAGGGACCCCGTCCTGGCTAAGGTCCTAGAATATGTCACAAACGGATGGCCGACGAACGTAAAAGAGGAAAATATGAAACATTTCACATGTAGAAAAACAGAAATCACATGCGAACAAGGATGCTTATTATGGGGTTATCGGGTGATAATACCAAGTAAGTTACGAAAAAGACTCCTCGACGAGCTCCATGGGGCACATTTAGGCATTGTAAAAATGAAAGCAATCGCAAGATCGTATTTCTGGTGGCCAAAATTAGACGAAGACATAGAAAAGGTAGCGAAGTCATGTAGGGCGTGCATCATGACGTCTGATGATCCCCAAAAGGCGATTCCAACGCCATGGAACAAAGCTACAAGACCCTGGCAACGTGTGCACATCGACTATTTAGGCCCGATAAACGGTAAATATTATTTTCTAATGCTGGACGCATTCAGCAAATGGCCAGAAATATACGAAGTTCCAAACATAACTGCGGATACAACAATACGCAAACTAAGAGAGACATTCTGCAGATGGGGAATTCCGGAGTTAATAGTCTCAGACAACGGAACGCAACTAGTTTCACGAGATTGCGAACAATTTTTACGAAATAATGGAGTACACCATGTAACCATAGCACCGTATCATCCGGCATCAAATGGTGCAGCAGAGAACGCAGTGAAATCGTTTAAAAGAGGGCTGAAAACCGCTCTTTTTGACAAACGAAATAAGAACACCCGCACCGACATTCTCGTAAGCCGATATCTAATTCATTACAGGAACGCAAAACACGCCACAACGAATGAAACTCCTGCTTTCCGGATGCTGAATAGAAACATCAGAACTTTATTCAGTTTGATTAAACCACAGGAAGAGAAAATAAGTTACGACACGCGGAAAACACCAAGAACAATGAAATTTCAAATAAACGAAGTAGTGGCAATCAGAGATTATAAAGATACCAACAAAAAGGCGTGGATGGAAGCCAAAGTTACTCAGACAATTGGACAAAAAATGTTTTTGTGCAAAATCATCGGAAACGGGAGGGTAACAAAACGACATGTGGATCAAATGAAAACAATCATAGCGACAGACACAGAATCTGACGATAAAGGAACAGAAAAAATTATAAGAAAGGCATCAACAACGTCAAAGGTTCCAGCAATTATATCAGACAAGGAAACAGTAAAGGAGACCACGAGCTCTACTAACGTCGAGACACGCCATAACCCAACACAACCAGATCCCTGTATCCCAAACGAGTCAATCCCTGAAACATCTGGTCAGCACGAGAACGCGGAATCTAATCAAAAGAGTAACCGACCTATCCGAACAAAAAAAACCCCATCACGATGGCAGGCAAATGAATGGATAAGGTATTAATTAGGAAACATGTAGGTTGACTAAGGGGGGAGATATGTAGTGTAGTGTAAGCGCGGCTTTACGAGAAAAAAGAGGTAAAGCCAGCTTTAGCAATAAGTATAATAATGAGGTTAGGTTTAAGACCTGTACGCTTGAATGTATGAAGAATCGTAGAATAAACAACTTTAAACAAATAGAGACTTCCTATAAAAGTTAATATACAACAGTTGTGATTCTTGTATTTTAAGTTATTTACCAGTAAATTAACTGATTAAAAACATTAGGTAAATTGCTTTCATTTTTGATCAGTTGTAATTTATTAGCAGTATCGGTAAGCAGATTAATAAAAAGAAGTTAATATCACCTGATGGAATAAAATTACTGGACAAAAAATGTTTACTACACACATTAATATACTTGGAGACAGATTTTTCAATTTTCAGAATCTTGTGTCATAGCTATTGCACTGGGGTACCGAACAATAACGCTTTGAAGTACTTGCTATAGTTCTTTCTTGGTTTATCACTGAATTTTTGCACACATAAATCTAATGGCAAGGCAAATGTTATCCCGATTTCGATAGTTACAAGTACTGTCACAAAGAACAGAAAATTTTTAGATAACACTATTAACGTTATTTAACTATCAAGTCGCGTACCAATGTTTAGGATATTTACGAAGGGCGCACACATTTGTCAAAAAACATACGCATCAAAGATTTCATTCATGTATTGTTTAATTTTTGATTTTACTTAATTTAATCATTGTCTTAAACTTAACGACCTCTGTCAGTTTCTGAATAGATTACTATTGATGTTTCTTTGGAAAATAACTTAATGATGTTTTGCATCTATACCCATGAGAGGAAATTAAAAGTAAAAATCGTGTATCACAATATCGTCACATCATCATCGACGAAGTGAATTGTGGAAGTGGATAACAACAAATTATTTTCCTGTACCCCTTTGGACCTCTGAAAATCTAAATTTTGAAGTTGGTTCTTGAACATTCCATTGACTCTAAAATTCGTTTACGCACCTATAGCGTCAAAAACATAATGCGGCGGCACAAAATACGTAGAAAGTGAGGAGAGATATCACGATCCCTGACCTTTTAGTGGTTAGGACGCCCAAGCGGCAAGTAGGAGACGTGATTTCGAATCCCACTCAGGCCGTGACATTTTTCCTTACTTCCACAAGAACAATATTTTCAACTTACGCTGTTCGCAGTTGACTCCAAAGAAACCAAGTGGACAGCTACATTCATATCCGGTGGCGTTACCATAGCAAGTGCCTCCATTTTGACATGGTAATCTTTGGTCACAGACGTTTTCTTCTATTTCGCAATCTTTTCCGCTATATCAGAAAAGTTAGTAAAAAAACCTCAAGTGTTGTATTACTCACATATATCCAGGCACGCAATTACATTTGTAGTCCGTAGGCGACAAGGGATAACACTGACCACCATTTCTGCATGGACTATTCGAGCATCCAGTTCTTCTACGATCATAAGGTGTAGATGGTGGTGTTGGTGGCACCTCTTCATGAGCGTATTCAATGTTATTATCGATTTCGTTGCTAAGATTACTGCATTCCATAACGTTGGCGGAATCTTGTGCCGACCTGATTATATCCAAATCAAGACCAGAAACATTGATCTAAAAATTTGGTAAGTTAACACCGAACAACACTATCACATAAACAAACCTCTGAAATGCAGCCACTAAAACTGTTGTGCACTCCTACACGATCATTAATCTTCATATTTTCACTGTCATAGCCACCAACATACAACGGTGTCAGGAGATTGAGTACTTTGTGGTTACCGGGAGAGCTTCCGAATGAGGTTTCGCCATCGACAATCAGCCGTCCTTCGCTGACACTACGACTGGCTGTCAAAATATGCCAATCTCCAGGTTTCAGTTCTTTTTCGCTTCGGATCACAATCGGACGACCACCTACGTTCAAAATGAATTCTACATGGCGATCCCTTACTGCCAAACTGACAAAGTCTCCGTGGCCTTCGTCTGTCTCAGCACAATAAAGCAAAATTCCGTCACGGGTGTCAGTTGGTTTGAATTTTAACGATGCTTTGAGGCGTCGTGGTGCTTTGGGTGTTGGATATGCAATGTATGCGCCGTTGCTGAATGCTGGTTCGTTGATGGTCACTTCTCTTTCGCACCTACGTCCTAAGCGGCCCATTGGGCAAAGGCAGTCAAAACCGTTGTCGTTGTCAATGCAACGGCCAGTTCCGCAGGTATCTGAGAGAAATACCGTTATTGTTAATGGCAAGGTTATGCTTATTACAACAAGGGAGAAGGAATGGGAAAATCAACTCGATCTAAGTCGGTATAACAAAATTGGTCTAAGGTTATTTAGACAGAACTTCCCTCGCCCCTGAAGTAGACTTCAACAAATAAAGCTTGTTCGAAAAATTTTTCTGCAAATGATATAATTTTTTTATATATAATTCTACATCTTTTAATAAAGACAAGAGTAGACAACTAAAGAAGCATTCTAGATGTAGTGTAATACTAATAACAGTACTGTATTCTCAAATTTTCAAGATTTCTAGCTAAAATTTACGGGTCTGTAACCTGCCGGAAACGTAGAAAACACAAAAAAATCTGCATATCGCAACTGCGTCATGACGACCAGAATTGTCAACACAAGTCGAAATACATATACTTCAAGACTCATAAAATTCAACAAAAATAAGATTTCTAGCTAAAATTTGATTGTTTTCCTTGGTATTTTCGGGCCTATTGGGAGCCAGAAACTCTGGAAAACACACGAAAAAGGTTGGAAAGTAACATTTTTTCTTTCAATATATCAGGAAAACCATCAACTTTCAGCTGCAAATCTTATTTTGTCGAGTTTTATGAGTTCTGAAATATAAAAAGCTTGAAAAGTAACATTTACTTATGTTGTTCTTCAACGAATTTTTCGAATCTACAAACGCCAGAATGTGGAAAATATTACCTAATTAATCACTTACTATCAGAATTGTCAAAACAAATCGAATTGTACTCAGTGACACACTTGCGATATGCAGAATCGATGTATATTTGGGAAAATGTGATGAAGCGTTCTTGATTTGGCCAATAACAAAAGTTGGAAATGAGACGGGGGTCGAACCTGTGGCTTTTCATATGCAAAGCGATCGCTTTGTCACAATTCTACGAGTCAAATTTTCATAGCTTCGTTAACAAGTGTCTAAAGAAGAAGGGTTAAACAATAAAAAGAATAAGCAAAATTAAGGGGGATTCATAAACCACATGTACAGAAGTATTTTATAAAACTTAAATGGCGTTTATCAAACAAATTTTTGAGATGAATAACAAATTTGTTTAGAATAGCGTTCAAACTTTATTTACTTCCACATCGTAATTTCGCTGGCCACCAACAATTTGATGACGGGTTTAAATTTGGTAGCTTGTCTTACAACCTACATATGGAGTGATTTATTTATTCATCTCATATAGGAAGTTAATGACGTCATTCCAAAAATTTCTTTAACAAATGTTTGCCAAAAATATGCTTTGGGACGCAGTGTTTTTTGCGTTTTGATAATATATCCATAAATGAAGTCTTAAAAATATTGTTGATTTTGTTGATTAGTAAAATCAAAAATAGTCTACGTAATATTAAAACAAATTTCACTACAGTACTGTTCCTATTACTGTTACACAAATGGTTATATTTGTTCCCATTAGAAAGTTCATGGCGCAATCAGAAAATATTACTAAGAAAATCTCACTTGAAATATACAACAGAGGATGTTCACTTATCTGGTTTAGTAATTCACTACTAATTTCATTTTAACATGTAAAGTTGTTATAAAAATATCAACAGAATGAAATTTTACAAATTTATTTAAGGACTTGTTTAAATTTGTTTTAGCACATTTACACTATTTTAGTGACGACACAAAGTTAATAAATTTGTATTCATCCATTCGAAAAAAAAAAAACGAAAGAAATGGATGACATTACAACAAACTAAAATCATTAGTCACGAAAAAATCTGGTTTGAAACGAGGTTTTACTATAATTTTATTTGTGTTTTCAATATGTTTAGCGAAAGTCCACCTATTTTCTTCTATTATTTTGAAAATAACGTATCAAGTTTAACTTATAAACTCATACAGCAGCGTTGTATTGCATGTAGTAAAATGTTTATCTTTGCGAAAAATAAGTAGGTAAATAAATCTGTATTCTAAAATATGCTTAAGTGACATGCAAAATTGGTTGTGCTTTACACGCGAGGGAAATTTGGTCTAAAAACTTTGAACAACTTTTAAGAAAGCAAATAAAATAGAAAACACAATGCAAAAAATATTAAAAACCACAATTACGAAAACATTAACTTACATGGTGAGCATGCCTCTCCTTTCAACTTCTGGCAAGTAGGTCCACTGTATCCGGGTGTACAAATGCAGTTGTAGCCCTCAAGAGATAACGCCTCCTGACAAACACCTCTATTTTTGCATTTATTATGGGAGCAAGTTTCACAAGTGGTGATGCCTTCTTTTGCTACAGCCAATTTGACGATGTCCTGGTGATTGTAACCGACCTTGAAGCGACTTATACAACCCACGAAGCCATTGTAGACGCCAACATCTGGTGAAATTTCATTGAAGTTAGGAACACCTCCAAGATACAGGTTTCCGGAAAGATCCAGGCCTACGTATTTTCCTTCGGTATTTCCAATAAACGGATCGGCTCCATCAACAAACATGGTCACTGAAAGAAAGATGAAAAATTAGATATCCTAATTATGTAATGGAGGTTGGAAACATTACCTTTCTTTCTGTATCGAACGATTTTGATGGTGTGCCATTCGTTCAAAGACACTGGACGATCAGCTTTAACAATTGTTACACCACCACCAAGATTAAAACGAAATTCGGGTACCCCATTCACCAATGAAAGAGAAATAAAATCGGCAGTTCTGTTATTGCCTTTGTTTCCGTTATAAAGGATAAGACCTGGAAGAAAGCAGCGATGAGTGCAAAACTTTTGTTAATGCTAAATACCGTACCGTCACTATTTTGGGGTTTGAATGATATTTCAAAGTTAAACTGAATGTAGGGATCGGGGAGGGTATTCAGAGCGATGTAACTAACAGGAGCTTGAGTGAAGTGTGGAACAATTCCTGTGACAGTGAAAACAGTAGTGGTGTCGATCTTCCTCCTGCCATCACTTTGTGTGCAAGTGTATACACCAGCATCTGAACTACTGACATCGTTCAACTGAAGACTTCTCTGTTAAAAAAAGAAGACAATTATAATGTAGTTGTTAAATGCACGGGAATGCTTACGCTGTGTGTATCGATATAATCTGGTATACTCCTTCCTTGTCTGGTCCACGTATAATCGACAGGTGGTGCTAGGTCAGTTTTACATTCCATTATAATACTGGAACCTACAGGTGCTGTTTTAATTTCAAGTGGAGCTTCATCGTTAATATCGCGATCTACGTCAATGTGGTAATCTTTATGGTAAACACCTTCACGACCTGTGGCTTCGCATCGATACGTTCCTGCATTTTCTGGTTTTAGAGACGTAATTCTTAGAGTGCCTCCAGCGCTTTGTACATTGTTTTGGAACCACCCAGAAGGTTTTGACCATGTTGTTATAACACCAGGTTCACTGGACTGACAATTAATGTCGATATGTTCTCCTATTCTATAGGTGCGTTCGGGCGGTGATATGTGGAGTGTTGGTGGTGGTACCGTTACTGAGGAGGGTCCTATCGAATAATAAATTAGTGATCACTGAATGTAGACTCTTCAAACTGAAAATTAGGTGCCATACATCTAGTCTGCTGAACTATGAATCACATCTAACAGTTCCCCAGTAGTTTATTAGTTTGATATACATACATATATTGAGAGACGTCACATATTAGTACCATATAATACAGTACATAAAAAGCAGTGTGTTCAACAACTTCGCCGACGGAAGTTGTCGTAGGAAAATACAAAGTTCAAAAGACTTATAGAAAAGCTTATAGATTAGAAAATACCAAGACCAAGAGATCTCAAACTTCACACAAAAGTTGGATATAAACACATACGAAGCTTGGTGCGTTTTGTATTAAAAATACCTATATACAAAGAAAAAAGCATTATTTGTTGTACTTTGTTGTACGTTTGGTATATTTTTTGTTACTCAAGAGGGTGCTCTTTTGAATGATTGTGAATATTACAAACAAGATAACGACAAAATCAGCACTTAGAACATATCAGAGACAGTTACTAATCAGGTTGCTTAAGTTGTTAAATTCATTCTTAACATGACCCATTTTTTTTTAGGGTACAAAACCGTGGCACCAAGTCATACCACTCTAATAAATAAGTTAGAATGACGTACATAATCCTATTTATATATAGATAATCCAATTTTTTGTGATTCGTTAGGGTGCGTCTTTTCCTAAATTGTGTATGTTGTATACGTGTAACTGCATACTTAGAGTAGTTTCTTGCTAGCTTGCCTAGTCGTTGTTATGGAAATCATGACACGTTTTTTTTTAAAAAAGAAAAGGTCGGAAAAGAGATATAATAAAAGCAGTTTGTATCGAAAAAACTGCATTTAATGTATCTTATTTCCCATACACAAAATGTTCTTAAATGTTTCTTTTGTAATTACTAGAGTTCCAAAAACAGTCCTGAGGGCTATTTTTGCCGTTTCTCGTCATTTTTCAAACCCCATGTATTAGTCTGTGGCGTGTCTATACTGATTTGAAATGAAGGTGAGTTACCCGATGGTGAAGTCTGAGACGTCGTTTACAACCTTTTGATAAATCTTTGAACTACACAAAACCCCATTATGACACCGAATAGCACCCTCTACATGGCCACTGACGACACGAAGGGCTAAAAACAGAAAGCAAAACAAACCCCGTCGTATCCTGGGATTGCAGTCTTCTTCGTCATTGTAATCACCACAGTCATTGATGCCATTACAAAGCTGAGACTGCGAAATGCATACACCGTTCCTACATTGCCATTGATCTTGTGCACAAAACCATTGTTCATCTGACCAACCATGCAATTATTAAACTAAAGTCTTCACAGTAAAAACAAAATGACCAACACAGAAATAAGTGAATGACTCCAAGAAAATTCGAGGAGAATTCTGAGCTGGCTTTTGCAGAAATGAAAACGAAACAATAAAATCTAACAGATAACTTACTTGTTACCCGTACGTCGATATAATCACTCGAGGAACCGCCATCTGTCGGAATTTCGCAATAGTAGCGTCCTTCGTCTTGTGGTTGTATATTAGTTATATATAGATATTCTCCGGATACTCTTGAGTGATCTGGAAGAGGAAGTTGCTCTCGGAACCATCGGATGTTGTTAATAACATTGGTATCTTGAGCTCGGCAACGCAGTGTTATAGACGAACCCTGTGGAGCTGTTTGCTGGCGGTTCTCAGCAGTCAGAGTAGGTCTGTGAATATTTTCTGCAAAAACTTGAAAGTAGGATACATTTTTCGTGCTTTGATAATCAGTACCTTCGACGATTACATCAGCTACAGCATCAGCTTCACCAGCACTATTAACGGCAGTACAACGGTATCGTCCGGCGTCACTTAGCTGAATGTTATTGAATTGAAGCAAACCTTCGCGAGTTGTAACCGTGGCTGGGAAGGTACGCTTGACGGGTACCCATCGGATGGTGATTGGTTGTTGACCGGTAGCGCTACATTGGATGTGTGCGTTGTCACCAGGACGAACAACTTGCCGCGGCGGCGTCAGTGTGATTCTTGGAGGGGCTGGAACATTATAAGGTAATTTTTGATTGACCTTGGTTTCGTTAAAATGTCACCATTTAAACAAGACAAACCAACATGCGTCACCAAAACTATCTAACTAGCCAAAAAAACAAAAATATTAAGTAGTGGAGTAGAATTTGTTGCAGATTTTCCCTCCTAAAATAATATATTTCGGGCAATGATTGACAAAATAACACACAGATTTCCGACTATCGTCCCTACTGTCTGAAATTATGTCTGAAAACGCTGGTGAATATCTACGTATTGAAAAAAAAATGTCTAGTTGCTGTTAGGAAAAGCAGGTTGACTATGATTACAAGAAATTATTTCATCTTTACTTCGGACATTGACCGGAGTAATTCAAAAGTTCACTAGAAAGGCCTAAAAGTATTATATCTTGTTAATTTGATGCAAACTGGAAATCTGAATAATGAGCTTACATTACAGTGAAAGAAAGACTGTTCTACACCGAACTTTTTCTAATCGTACACTTGTCGGATTTGTAAGGTAATGTAGCAATTTTTCTTTGATAATCTTTCAGAAGCGGTGTTATGTAAATATATGAACTGAAATATGTAGTTTTTCATAGTTCCAGGTCTCAATCCATTAGCAAAACTGTTGCGAGCCACAGAGGTATCAAAAACCAACCCTGCTTCCCACCAATTATTTTTGACAGTATAAATTTAATATTCAATGTTAACATCAAGTATTTAACTGCTACATTTATATGGTACATTTATTAAAGTGGTTACAGAGATGTTCACGTTAAATTTTATAGTTTTATAGCTATAGTTCCCGGAACCTTAGAATAACTAAGAGAAAAAAAAAATGAATACAGGTTAGGGGCTCGTGTGAACAGAGAAGTTAAGTCATTTTCTCGCTTTCCTAACAGCAATAGTACTTAGTGTGTAGCCAAAACTGGCTACATTAAAAAGGAACACTGTTAAAACTGGTGTACTGTTTCTGCTCCACTAAAATTCTTTCTATGAAAGCTGATAAAACACCGGTGAAAACACAGTACCTAGAATTGCACATATGTCTTCCTCGGCTGAATGTAACAAAGAAATCGTAATTACATATACTACTTAACCAATAGAACGAAACAAAAACTGGGAAGAAGCTCTTGAATAGATAGCAAAAAATACATGTTATGTACGCAGCGACGGTCTGTTAACTTACAGATAACTTCCAGATGGGCAACGACTGAAAATACGACTCGTCCAGTGTACCGATCAGTTCCCAAGCAGCGGTACTCGCCCGTTGCGGTGGGTTGTACGTTATCAATGTAAAGAGTTCCACTTCTAACAAACGCATCACTTGGTAATGAAGAATTGTCACTGCGGGTCCAGGTGACATACGGAGCTTCAGAATCTAGGGGAAACATATGAATTTTCAGAAATTCTGGTTAACATTTGAATTACCATTATTGTTATTGACTTGGCATCGTAGTTCGGCTCGGGTACCAACAGGGGCAGTGAATGTTTCATCGTAGCTGTGTACTGGTGGTCGCGATGGATTTGATGGGCCAGACGGGCGATGGTCGGTTGTTTTATAACCACCTTCAGGAATGACCTCGTTTGTACCAGTTGAGTCTTCACCTAAGTAAGAAAAAAAAAGTTACATACAGTTATTTTAACACCAGTAAAAAAATCTATAGTAATGAAATTTCTGAGGTTAAAAAAATGTGTATTTTCACGTTAATGTCTGCACTTACCTGGTCCATTAGGGTTACCTGTCCCCCAGTTAGTAGTAAGCAAAAATGAAACAAAAAACAAATACATTTAATAAAAAATCTACACAGAACCTACAAATTTTGAATACCTACATTTAAAAATACTAGTAAGTGATAAAGCGTTAGTGGTACCACCACCAGCAAATATAGATATATCGAAAGATAATGCTACATGTTGGAGACAATCGAAATGTGTAGAGATACTTTGATACAAAAACATTAAACTGAGTTCTAAAACTGTACTGAAGATATGAAAAGCTCAATTGCATTAAAAACCACTGAAGTTCATTTTGTATTGTAAAAATAAAAATCTGTTCCAAGTTAATTTTTGCCAAAAAGTTAAATAAATGTTCGCTTTCAGTGTCTGGAAAGAAAAAAATTCTATTACGATATTTTATACGAAAATGAAGTTACTTAACATCATATAAATCTTTACAATGAGAACATAAGATTGAAAACGAAAAAAAAAACAGAATTTCTAAATTGACGATCGTGCTCTTCGTTAACGGAGCGCTTATCCAGTATTTTTTTGTGCATCAGACTATAAAGATAAAATTTTAAATTTTGCAGTAGACTATTAATTATTATTATTATTGTCTATTACGGATACGCTAATATGAGTAATAAATATTAGAAATTAGGTCTTGCCCTTGACTTTCAGAAGTTTTAACAGTTTTTCATAAACAGTAAAGTTAAATAAACATTAGTAATTTACTAATGTTTAATGGTAGATTTAGTTGTATTGTACTTAAGTAGGTGTATGTACATCTTAAGCATGTGTTCAAAATTAGTTAAAATTCTTGCATGAAGCTAAATGTCGATATTTCGTGTTTTACAAAATTACTACACGTTATAACGGATCTACAAAACAATCTCCCACTTACCCACTATATCTCCGCGGCTCGGTACACTATGGATGGCCAGCTGAACACGTTTTTCTGCGACTCCAGCATCATTACGGGCTTCACAGAGGTACAAGCCTTGATCTTGTGAAGCAAATCTGGCTATTTCTAGAATGGCTGTATTTCTGGATAGTATACTTTCTGGTAGTCCACTACTATAACGTATATAACGACAGTGTATAATTCGTCAGCAAAAAAATCTATTCTAGTAATACTAGTGAATAAAAGAATTTTTAAAAGCGTAACTTACTAAGCCACTCTTTGATCTATTCTTCTCCACTGAATTGTAGGTGCGGGTTGACCAGATGCATGACATTCAAGTCTAATGTATTCACCCTGTCGTCTCATTACAATATCTTCATTAGGCACGGTCCAGACTGTAGGACTAACTTGTACGATGATGTTAGCGATGGCAGTTTCTCTTCCTGCTTCATTTTCACCTGTACAAACGTATTCGCCACTTTCTTCTGGTGTGATCTGCGTGAACCTTAACGATCCGTCCGCCATTCTTTCTATGTGCGAACTCAGCGGTCTACCATCACTTCTAGACCAAGTAATTACGGGAGATGGAATACCAGCCTCCGCTCGACAAACCAGAATAGCACTGTTGCCAGCAGTTATGGTTTGCGAAGCGCTTGGATGGAGTGACAAGATAGGAGCTTCGAGGCGATTTACTTCGACAATAGAAGAAGCTTGAGCTAAGCCAAGACTGTTGGAGGTTATGCATACATAAACACCTCTATCCTCAACTTGGGCGTTTCTGATATAAAGAGTTGACCCTGATTGCATTATATGTGAAGGGAATTCTGATCCCACTCGGGTCCATTTAACGGTCGGTGTCGGAGATCCAGCGGCTTCGCAGTGAAGTTCAGTAGATGAACCTTGAGCAATTAGAACGCGCTCAGGAGAGACCTTAGCGGTTGGTGGGGAGTTGCTGAAATACAAACAGTAAGTTTGTTCACCTTGCAATCAAACTATAATTACCTTTGAGACTCGTGTATTCTGACCTCTGCTGTCCCTGTTACTGTATATCCGCTTGGAGTAACTGCTGTGCACACATATATACCAGAGTCTTCAGGTTTGGGAGAGTGAGCTGTTAGAACATCACCGCTTGCAACGAAACTATACGGAAGTGGACGGCCGTTTTGACGGGACCATCGCAGATCAACTGCTCTGTTTGATTGGCATCTTAGAGAGAATGTTTCGCCACTTGGACCTTCGTGGAAGGGTGGTGATATTTCCACCGTTGCAACGCCACCGTCAGTATTTTCTCGAACATATATATCTACGTTAGAAGTGTGGGTTCCGGCCGTGTTGGTAGCAATGCATTGGTAGGGACCTTGATCTGATCTACGTGCTTGTGGAATGCGGAAGAGACCATTTTGGAAGATATGCTACATTTATACACAACTAATAAATAGTTTTTTAACATTATTGTCTAGTGCTTACATCGGGATTCAATTGTTCGCCATCGAGCCTGATTAAACGCAAAGATGGTTCAGGGGTGCCAGTAGCAGCGCATTGAATTTGTATCAACTGACCCTCTTGCACGTCCACAAATGGAGGAGTTATGACTACTCTCGGCGCTTCAGGTTCAGAAGCTACAAGAATATTTTGCTTAGACAATAATGTGACACTGAAACGGTAGCTATGGCTTGCGGAAACATATACAGATACATATTTTGAGAGCTTTCATAAAACATAAGAATATAATGGAAGCTTCTGAATCGTCTTGATGAACTGAGTTGATTAAAAATCATTCCATAAAATCATCATTAAATTAGTTCATAAAGAACAAGTTCATATTCTAGAATATTACTCACATGCAATAATAACAACGAACCTACAGTTCCTTTTAGTTGTAAAACGTGTGTTTTGAAGTCGATTTTAGAATGTATTCTACAATTGCAACTCCAGGTCTCGTCGAGTGCTGCGGCTGATTCCTACTCTACGAGCCCTAACAACTAAATGTTCGGACACGTATTCTTTTATACAAAAAATGTAATTTAATGAAAAAAAATGTATTTTACAAAAACAAAACTAGAGTAATATATAAGTAGGTATCTTTAATGCAATATTCTCAACAAAAATTGTAATATTATTAACTTAACAAAATTATAACACAACAAGAAGCTGGTATGAACGAATAAACTTGGCAACTAAATATTCGGACATGAGTATTTTTTTTTACTTAGTATGGTGCAACATCTCCTTTTGCTTTGATTACTGCGCGTATCCTTGCAGGCATAGTACTTACAAGACTTCTGCAGTATTCAGGAGTAAAACTTGCCCAAACTTCGTCGATTTTTGCTTTTAAACCTAAGAGTGTTCGTTGGGGGTTGTTGCGCAAAACGGATTTTATGTCGTGCCAAAGTGTCTCAATGACATTTAAGTCAGGGCTGTTCTCAGACCATGAAAGGACTCTTATACCATGATCCCCAAACCATTTCTTAGTACTTTTTGCGGTATGACATGATGCACCGTCCTGTTGAAAAATATAATCGTTGTCCGGATACAGTTTTTCAACAGAGGGCAACAAACTGTTTTCTAAAATTTGTTGGTATTTCATGACGTTAATAGTCGTTTCCACCAATTCATAATTCCCCAACCCTTTAGCTGACATGCATCCCCACACCATTATTCCTCTAGGAAACTTTACAGTTCGTTTTAAACAGTCTTTATTGAACGCTTCACTTTTTGATCTTATCACTCTTCTCCGCAAATCTCCCACGCACACATCAAATTTTGACTCGTCACTAAAAATGACCTTTGACCAATCTTCCATGGTCCATGCCAGCTTAGACTTTGCCCAGTTGTACCTATTTTTCTTTTGATTTGCCGTTATTAAAGGTTTTTCTTTGGCCTGTAACGGCACGGTGGAACAAATGTAAACCAAAAACTTAAAAATTACGTTATAAAAACTTAATCCTGACTTGTGAATCCATTTCCTACAACATTCTCGTGACAGCTTATGCCCTATTTCATCCGTCGATTGTGCTGTTATGTCCCGCAATGTGTTTCTTCGATTTTTTTTACAAAGTTTTACAAGGAGCCTTTGACTTCTTTCTGAAACTAATTTCGGTCTTCCTGAACTTTTTCCTTTAACGTCTAGTCCACCAGTTTCGCGATAATGTGAGATTATATCCGCTACAGTGGACTTTGCTAAATTCAGTTCTTCACTAATTTCCCGAATTTTTTTACCTTGGCAATACTTCTTTACAATAAGTGCACGTAATGATTTTTCAAGTGGACGTCCACGAACCATTTTGTTAATGGTCTATGGATCTTACAACACAGTTAGGTAAAGCAGGAAGAGGAGAATGATATTTATTAACAATCAAACAATTCACACCCCCTACTTAGTGAAAATTAATTTTTTTATTTATTTGTCCGAATAATTAGTTGCCAAAGTGTATTCACTTTTTCTGAAAAATCCACAGTCATAGTTGAATTAAAATTCTATGTAAAGTAAAACATTCAACTTTTTTATTAAAAACTATTCTTTGAAATCTTAGCTTCCTATTTTTATGTGATTTGATAATAAAAATTAATTCATAAATAGTGGTTTTTGAACGCTCCGGTTAGTTTGTCCGAACATTTAGTTGTTAGGGCTCGTAGTAGTTTTTTTATTTTTTCAATAAAATCAACCTTTCTGCATACAATTCACTTTCAATGTGGCGGGTGTTTTTGACAGTTCTCTTAATTTTATTTTAAAGTGTAAATACGTACAACTCTAGCGCAAGCTGCGCATGTGGCTTTTACGGTACCATTATTCCTGTTTCGCGATTCTAATATAGTAGGCAGTAATATTTGACAAAGTTAAAAGTGTCGGAAACGTGTCAAAATTTACTGTCATTTTTTAAAATTAACGTTTAAAACAAAAATACCACAGAGTTATAATGAGAACTACGAATACTCAAAACTGTCGTCTGTGCCAAAATAATGGTGCCTTCTTTCTTATGTTAATAGTAGGAGCGTTCTCAGTTGTGATTTACTACTTATTTTCAGAAAAATAACTGTATAGTATTAAAAAGAAAAAACAGCGCAAACATAAGGAATTTGAAGAAAAAAAGTTAAGATAGTTACCTGTCTGATTCAATGCTTTTGGAAGCAATTCTAAGCAAGCATGATAAGGGGGAAAACAATTGCTATACTTGGAACAAGTACGAGCCTATAGTCAATACTTACGTCCAACAGTGATGACGATGTCTTTAGATTCTACGACGTATCCATCGAATGCCTCACAAATGTATCGTCCGGAGTCAGAAACTCTTAGGTCGGTTATAACCAATATTCCTCTTCCATCATCGACAGCATGAGAGGGAAGATTGGCACCGTCCTTGGTCCAGTGTAGTCTAATTGGTCTTCTATCAACCAAAGATCTTGCCGAACAGTTAAATCTGACGGTACTACCGACTTTAAGGATTTCAATTCTTGGAGGAGGCGCAATTGTGATTTCTATTGTGGGTGGTGCTGCAGTTGAAACCCATGGTCCCGGTGTAGTAGTGGTGCTATTCGCATCTACAACGTACAAATTAGTAAGAACCTGTAGGCATTAAACTTAACGTTGTATGTATGGTTAAATACATTAAATACTAGTAATGTTAGTGCCACAACGACCACAAGTTATAACATTATTAAGACAGATTGACATTGAAAGTACTGTAACCTAACGGAACCACTACCAAAACGATGAACACTATAAAACAAGAAGCTCTCTGACGGATCTGCTGGAAAGTACCCACTCAAAGTACTTAAAGAAGAAACTCTTCTTCAAGAACTTTAAAACTATTTCCAAGTATTTCAGTCTATTTATTTCCAGCATTTAAAGAACTTTATACTTGGAAGGAGGATACTTCTCTACTCTATATTTCTGAATATATTTCGAACCTGGATTTACCAATGAAGTAATCGAGCCTATTACTGTACCGTCCAGGTTCTCTATAACACATTGTAAACGATGCTCGTAACAATCTTTAACTACAAAATGGCATGTTGGACTTCCACTCTCCGAAACTCCACAACTGACCGGATCTCCATTGTCACGGAATGTGACACGCAACGTTTCCATACTTTCGTACTTACAAGTGAACGTAACAATACTTCCAACTTGTGCTGTTACTTGAGATGGTGTTATCTCCAATCTGGTTGTTCCAACTGAATTTGTTTAAAATTACACAGCGTTAAATAAAACAGTGTTAATTTACGTGTTAGTAATTCCGATTTACTTTTGTTTCGTAAGCAAAAATTTCTCACTACTGATCTCTACCTCATGTTGGCAATTTTTGGATATACATTTTTTAAATAACATATTCAGAAGTTGTGCTGGTATCATGAAAAAAGTAATAATGGTTCCTTTACGATGATAATTAATGGCAGAAACACTTTGTTCAGAAATAAAGTTAATGAAACTTTTTTTTATAATTACAAAATTATGGACCATCAATAAATAAAACAACAAGATTGTTATTGGCGTAGTGTTTGTTACTGAGGTATTTCTTTTCAGTTTTAAGTGGTCAAATTAAATCAGTCAAATAAGTAACTTACCTATGAAGCTGAAGAATTATTATCAGTATTATATTACATGTTACACTGTTGTGAAATGCTTGCGAAATATAAAATCAAAATTCACATTAAATTTTTGAAAAGGTAAATTGTAGTACCAAAATATATGCTCTTTGTAAATTCTCAATTAATACATGGATTTTGTTTTTCACAAGCACTTCAGACTTCACCTTCATTTCGTACAATATTTTGAGTGTTATTGAAATTCGAATGTATCATAATAATACAAATTTTCCATTTAGATGAATTTTAGCACCCGTTAATATAAAATCCTAGTTTAGTAGTGCGGTTAATTGTTTAACGTATGCAACCAAAATCATCAAAGAACGAATTGTGTGAAAATATTATTATTCTGGGTTAACGATATTTAGAGTGGTACTTCACAAACTTTATAGTATCTGAAGGTTAAAGTACTCACCATATTCGCATTGTCTGCCAGCATAATTCGGAAGGCAAGTGCAACTGACCCTGTTGTCCGGTCCTAGACTACAACTTTGTTCGCGGGAATTACAGGGACATCTTGAACATGATCCTAAAGGTCCAGTGCTGTAATCATTAGTGTCTCTGTAATAACCGGCAGCACATGACTCGCAAGATGATCCTCGATAACCTGGAGGGCATCTGCATACTTCAACTTCAGTAGTTGGTGGTTGGGGAGTTAAAGTATTTTGTTCAATAGCAGTATCTAATGTTACATCACTTATGTAGGCACTCTCGGTATCGCTAGACTGTTGAGCTCTAATTAGAATGACATCAATATGAGCCAACACGGTCATTATGTCTTCTCTAGTAGCAGGTCTCGGACCTTGGTTGCCATCGATACGTTGCCAGTTAGCAGAGGGACTCAACACGACAGAAATTTTCTGCAGTTTTTTTTTTAACATTAGAACAAACCTGTTACCACTGTTGGTCATACTTACGTTTATCTGATCTGGATTAAGACCTTGTGGGTTACTCCAGTAAATTGTTACTCTATTGCCTATTATGATGATGTCTTGATCCGGAACATACACAGCTTGTGGTCGTTGGGTATACCTTTGTGTAAATTCTAGTTTTCCTCCGTATGATTTGACCTGATTTCCGGTATACTTCCTGGGAAGCGACCAATACCATCTTTCGGAGTTGCTTGGTCTGAACGTGTAACCGATCTCATTCATTAAGGCATTTATTTGGAAACCGTTATCAATTCGTTGGGTCTGGTATCTGTAGGAAGTTAAAAATTTTGTAATTTGGTTTCTTTATGTTTTATATTAACTACTCACTGATCAGTTAGAGTAAATCCATGTCTTTCTGCGTCAATGAACGTGGGAATCTGTTCGTAAAAGAAGTTACCCTCTCTACATTCTGTTGTTACACCAGAACAGAAACAGGACTGACAACCGTGGACGTTTGTAATACTTAACCCAAAGGTGCCAGTTCTACAGCGGTTGCAATTGTTTCCTTCCACGTTGGTCTGTAACAGGTTAAGATTGCCCAAACTAGCGAAACTAAATTAATACTTACTTTGCACTGACAGACCCCATTGTAACATTCGCTTGAAACAGAACCTTGAGGGTTGCAATTACATTGTACCACTCCACCACCGCCAACATATCGGCATGGAATTCTGTTAGCTGGATCACCTTCATAACCCGGCAGGCAAGTTTCGCAGTTCTCTCCAGTGGTGAAATTATCACAGTTCTTAAAGAAATAAATCATCCATACTACGTAAAAATTGGTAAAAAAAGACTCACGAAACAAGCGCCCGTCTCTGGATCACACTCCCGCGAGTTTCCGTTGCAGTTACAGGGTTCACACAGTCCCAGGTAAATCCCTTCATCTGCTCTGGTGTATCCTACTGCACAATCCTCGCAAGACAAACCAGTGTAACCAGGAGGACAATGACATTGTTCAACTGCTAGAGCTCGTTCGCTTGATCCAGTGTTGTGCTCGTTCGAGATATCCAGCGACACGGAAATTAGTCTAAAAAATCCTTGTCACGTACTGCTTTTGCATGTAAACTAAAGTACTTACGCAGATTCCCTGGTATTGGTGTTGTACGTTGCTTTAATATAGATCGCATCTAAATCGGCCAGTGCCATGAGCAGATGCTCACGATCAGCTTTTTGTCCATCACTGCGCTGCCAGTATTGCTCTAGAAGAGGAACTACAAATGTTTGAGGAGTGCCAGTCGGTTGAACTTGTTCTCGAGCGTAATACAAAAGAATAATTTGATTGGCCTAAAAGCAAAGCATCAGAAGGCAATTCTGCATTTTGATATGTTGCACCCTTACGCTGACTAGCTCGACATCCGCAGCGGAATTTCTAGAACTTTGCCCACCAGGTAACGGCACATAGCGTAAAGTGTATCTTAGATAGCCGCCGTAAGATGTGATCTTGTCTCCTAAATAGCGAGGTGGAAGAGACCAGTAGTGAACATTCGGGCTAGAGAAGCTGCTGTAGGATATTTCACGTCTAGTTTGATCTAGATTGATTCCTTCTTCGATCGGTCTTTCTCGATTTTCCGTGTCGATCAGTTTGAAGCCATCACGAGAATTGGTGAAATAGGAACTAATCTGAATTGAAAATTTACGTAACGTATTTATTACTGAAATATTAGTTGTCAATAACTAACCTGATCCCTGAACCAGTTGGAGCTTGTACATTGTCTAGTAACGCCCATACAGAAGCATGCAATACAACCAAACTGATTATCTCCGCTTAGGTAGAATGTATTGGCCTTACAGGAAGCACACGTTGGACCATCGACATAATCCTTAAGATTTAAATTACGATTAATTGGGTGTTTGTTATTTTAGAATAAAAATATCGTACATTTAATGGTGTACAATAAATTTTGTTTTAAATATTAAAGCAACGCAAACAATCTCTTCAAAAAACTTCACCAAAATATTTGAAGGTATATGTGTAATTTTGAAAAGTTGCTTTTTATACTCCTTAGCCCTCATGAGTACACTTGAGTAGCACGTAATCAACAAAAATCGTCTTCTCCTTGGGACTGGATTTTTAGTGACCTTTTTTACTCCCCCCGTTGTAAGCAGCACAAGATGCAATTTTAAGACGCCTTTTCCTGATCTCAGTATTATACGGACTACCCAATTCTTTAGAAATGTATGCATTAAAACTAAAACTTTTTGAAAACAGTATTCTAATTAATCAACATTAGTTTTGATATATCTCTTAGGGACGGTTTACTAATCCATTAAAAAAGGTCGCTGCTGTTGTCACTTCTTTGTTATTCAGTTGGTTAGTGAATTCTTGAATCAAATTAGTTGCTTACTTCTTCTCATTATTTTATTATTACATTATTTTAAACTCAAATCTAGTGCATTTTTGATTGAAGCTGCAATTTTGCTGTAACTAGAATTACACCGACGAAATTAAAACCGTTATCGAGTGTAATTTTGGAATAATTCAACTGATCTTTAGTTTGTTTAGTTTTGATAGTACCTGAAGACTATTTCAAAAACGTTACAATCTGCTAATGTCCTACCAATTTTTTAAAATTCCATATGTTATTTTTTAATGCAGAAACAACGTTTCTATTTCCCCGGGCGCAAGCTAGGCTAGTTCCTTACTCATATTCCATTATGATTTTTTTTCATTTTATCAATATTATCATCATACATGTGTACATATCTAATGAATTTATCCTAAACTTACATGTGGCACTTACCGAATAATACCGGAAAAAAGCATGAAAACAAATATGTTCGTTTGTTAGTTGTGTGAACTATTTCAACGGAGAATCCAGTTATAGAATTGTTACCTACCTTACAGCGGCATCTTCCTTGTTCCTCGCCAATGGTGCCCTCTGCGTTACACTGAGAAGTAACTCTGCAAGAATCACCCGGTATGAGAGGATTGCCGGAGTAACCTGGAGCACACTGTTCGCAACGTCTGCCAACGTAACCTGGGGGACAATCGCACGTAACTTCTCCATCGGAACCTAACGAACAAGTTCTTGCAAACCTATTAACAGAACGTTTTTACGAAAGGAAGGTTTGTATATTTCAGAACATACTGATTACTAGGATTAGTGAGCGGACAGGGACACACTTCGCATTGTCCTCCGCGATTTGGATTTCCGTATGTACCTGGGGAACAAGTAATATGTTGTCGTGCATAACACTGTCCAAGCCATGGTCCTGTTTTGTGGCGCACGTAGCCGTCGGCGCATCGCTGTAAAATATGGTTTAATAGCATCACGATAAAAGGCAGGTGGTTTGCACGATGAAATCTGCCTACGATGTATCATGAAAGTCTGACAGTTGCGTGTTATCGCCTTGATATATAACACATTTAAGTTGCACACAAGTGTGTCGTTTCGTTTGTACGTAATTTTGGATTTATTATGCAGTTCTCTCGTGCGTTCACTTATCTGTTTTGTGCTGTGGCCTTCACATACCTCGCAAGAAGTTCCGGTGTATCCAACAGGACATTCGCATTCTTCCACGTAAGACGCTGGCCCCAACCCGCTGTTCGGGACAGCTGCCGAGTCCATTTCGATGTTGGAAATGGTGGTATTTAATGGACCCTCGTTATATTGCAGTTTTACTAAGATATTGTCAATATTTGCCAGTGCCATCATTATTTCTTCACGTGATGCTCGTGTTTCAGGATAACCTTCAACTCTTTTAACCCATTCGCCTTCGAAGAACCTTACTTGGACGTTTTCAACGCGATTGGGTGGTGGCTGGTAAGACTGAGCACTTAATAAAGTGTAACCATTGCCCTAAAACGTACTCAATGAAAAGCACTGTATTTTAAACTAGCTTATAGTTTACGGTTAGAATAACTGTGGGTCCTGCGACTTGATAACCACGATTATTGTGTTGCACGTTAAATCTCAAGTAGCCACCGTAGCTTTTTAGTTGATTGCCATGGTAGTTTTCTGGCATTGCGAAATATGGCACCAACGAACTTGAGGAGATTTCTCCATATGGTGGCAGTTGAGCGTAAACGCCGTTTCTACCGACACTAGTCAACAAGGGTTGTCCATTTCTATAAATCGGTTCATCTCTAACTTCCACAGCACCAGTGTTAGGATCCACGAACACACCCAACAATTTAAGACTATCAAACGGAGGTTGGAATTGATAAATGAACAAATCTGCTGAACGGCATTTGTTGGACTGACCGAAGCAGAAACATTTAATGCATTCTGATTCTGTTCTAGCTTCTTCGTTGAAATAACCATCCCGACACACTGGATTTACATCGATTACTAGAATAGTGTCCGGTATGGCAAACACTGTGCCTTTGATGTTAATAACCTCGCATGAATAAGCACCCTGATCCTCAATTTGAATATTTGGACAGCTGAGCGTTCCCACACCGTTAACACTAGTTGTGCGGCACTTCGGTGGAATGTGGCCCCAGTTCAAACGCCAGACGATTTCAGGAGTCGGTACTCCTACTGCGGTACAACCGATTTCAAAAAGCGATCCCACCTCAAGTGTTACCATTGGAGGTGGCGGTTTTGAAACAACAGGCAAAGCTAAAAAATGCACCCAATAAGATCGTGAGTATCGTAAAAGTGAAGTGAAATTTACAGCATCCGATTTCATCACTACCGTCGATACAATCGCGTTCCAAATCACAGTGGTAGCTTCTTGGAATGCATTGGTTGTTGGAATGGCATGCAAACTGATGGTAAGCACAGATCGACCCAGGTGGATTAGTCGCACAGTTTTCTTCATCGGATCCATCGCCACAATCGTCATCGGAGTCGCATCTCCATGTCTTAAGTATACATTTCTTATTGGCACATCGGAATTCGTTCGGTTCACATCCGTTGGGGTCTGTAATAAGCGGCTATACCTAATCTTTGTGTTAGCTTTGGACAAACTTACTGCAACGGTTTTCATCAGAACCATCAGTGCAGTCGTATCTACCATCACAGACTAGATTCTTTTCGATACAGTCGCCGTTAGAACAAGTGGCTTGGTGGAGTCCACATGCTGTTGTTGGACGAGTCGGTGGTGGAATCCCTAACAGACAGATAATTTAGTGACCGATTGTGCTATTATGGCAAGCAGTTATTGCTCTCGATAATACTTACCGATAGATAAAATAAAGTAAGCATTAATAAATCAAAACATTAGTAACATACTTTTCATCTGTTTTATTAAGTACCTGTTCCATGATATTCGGTATCGAGAGGTGGTAAAACTCCATATTTTAGCAACGAAGATTTTGTTTTACCTCTCCCGACTGCATGTAATGTCGTAAACACTCCAAGAAGTTTTTACAAATGCGAATGAAATACTTACAACGATCAACTTGAAGGTGGACCGAAACTTGCGCTCCTGGTGTGTTTGGAGGGTATCCTTCAGCTTGACAAATGTACGTGCCACCGTGTTCAACTTTAATGTTGGGAATTTCGAGTCGACCGTTCTGATCCCTGGAACCAGCTGGTAACGGTTCTCCGTTTGGTCTTGTCCAGTGTACTCGAGCTCTGAATGGACCTTCATCGCGGCATTGGAACACAACTTCTCGATCTAAATCAGAAATATCATTTAATAAAATGTTGACGATATCGGAACCTATATACCGGCACATGCATTACACCTTGATATTTATATTTAATAGGGTAAGTCTGTATTAAAAATTCTAGTTGAAGCTGTTCTATTTACATTTTGGTTGAAAGTATGAGGGTTTAAATGATATGTTGTATCAGCACGATACGGGAGTGTTATAGCCCACATTAGATACCTAATTGATTTTTTTAACTTTCGTTAAGTCCTAACTGTTAATTCGCGGGCAGGTAGTCTTGAAATTGACAGTCAAGAGTTTGCAAAAATGGACAATCCAATTTTTTAAGATTATTATTTTTCACATCAGTATTCACGGTCTGGCATGTAGTCGGCTTCTTTCAAGATGAAGAACTCAGAGATGGTTTTGTCCAATGTCATAAGATCATAAATTTAGATAACAAGATGGTATACTTGTAATAATAGTGAACATTACTAAATAACTTCTGAAACCTTTATTTACATACTGAGGACTATAGCAAGATAATGATTAAAGATTTGCAGATTTAAGGTGTTTGTTTAGTTTCTGTGCACGAACTCTGTAAACTAGTGTTCTAAACGGTCGGTACCATAATCTTTACGAGGTTCATATGAATTTCCGAGTCAATTCATCGGAAGTTACTTGGTTAATGGTCACTATTTTAGAACCATAACTAAAGCGATTCCTAAATCCTGTTTTTAATACAAATTGGTTAGTGTATATCTTTTAAAAGTTTTAATCGTCCTATGTTAATATGATCCCTCGCTTTCCGATTTGATTGGTCCCACTGCAATGATTAAAATGCTATTGACAACATACAACACACGCATTCTATGCCGAAAGCAAATATTTCACATGTTAAGAAGAGTGCTGAGAATTATTCAAATGAAGATGTGTGAAATATTTTCTTTGAACATTGAAGTAACACATAAGGCTTTTAATATACAATAAAACCCATATAGAAGCGAAAAGCATTTACCATTATAAATTAGGCGGTCTTCCGTTTTTAAAGCTGAAGTACCTAATATTATATACAATCTAAAAACATAAATCATCTCTATACCGCTTAGAACTAATAACAATAGCAGCGTATCATTTGTTTGATTGGCCAATTATTATACTATTAAAGAAAAGATTTGTTTGAACACAAGCACTTTTTTAGACAACAGGTTCTTGTTTTAAATAAAAAATAAACATTTTAGGGATATTTAACTGTTACTATCACTTCGTGACTTGTAACATAGAGTGAACGGAGGTACAAGTATAGACAGATTTATGTAAATCAGTGTTTATAAAAGAATGAAGATGGCGCACATGAATGAGGGTCATTCCCGCTAAGTTGACCATTTTACTCACCGGTCTTATAAATGTCTGCTCCAACAAGACATAAGGAAAACAAAAATCATTAGTTACATGTTTACAACATTTATGACATTATCAAGTTATAAAGTGCATAAATATATAGACGCACAGGTGCAGTGCAATTAACTAAAACGATTGAAAGGTGACAAAAACAAATATAAAAAAGAAAAAAAAAGTGAAATACTCACTTTCTTTGATTTCTTGAGCATTGGGATATGTCCTTAAGTTGAGGCCTTCACTGGGTCCAGCTGCGGGAAAAAAGTAAATTAAACTCTGCAGAACACAAACGTTTTAAAGTCGTGTTAAATTTTTTTATGTTAATTTGTCCCCTTAAGTTTACCTAAATAGTTACAAAGAACGCAAGTTCAAATTAAATATTTTTAGTTTGTACTGTACATTTTTCGAGCAAATTACGATGATCAGTTGATTAATACTGAAAAAGTCAACTGTTATACTAGTTGTGAAGTGCACATTTGTTGTTAATTGTGTCCATTAGAGATCCATCAACCAATTAAAAGCTACGTCAGGTGTTAGAAAAAGAAATATTTCTGGTCAGTCGCATGATCTGAGAGTGCGACCGACTTACGATGTACTGGTCCAGTAAATTCAAAGGGACAGTCTAATTCGTCGCTAGTGTCTCTCGGACAATCCACCTTTCCGTCACACCTTAACCTTTCTTGGATACAAGGGCCATTTTCGCATCGGAATTGGCCAGCTGAACAACTCCCATCGTGTGTGACGGCTAAAGAGAGGTTTGGTCACAACATCAAAGGGTTACACACAAATAGTTAGATAAAGTACACAGCAGCGCTTCCGAAAGCGATACTTACGGCAATTGGTTTCATCAGACATGTCGCTGCAATCGACTCTACCATCACAAAATTGTGATTGAAGGATGCATTTGTCGGCACTGTGACATGGCCGATAGCCCGCAGAGCAAGTAACTGGTGGCGGTGTGGGTCGCGTTGGCGGCAGTGGAGGTGCTGTTACAACAGGGGGTGGTTCAGTTGGACAGTTAAATTCATCAGAACCATCACTACAGTCATTCCTTCTGTTACAACGTAAATAACCGGCTATGCAATCTCCATTCTGACACTGGAATTCGTCTGAACGGCATTCTACCAACAAAAAATTAAAACAAAATTGAACAAAAACGAAACAAAGGAACGAAAAATAACCGGTGCAATTAGTTGAAAATAAAAGAAGTTTGTGATTTCTTCAATGATTGCGTTTTGTACAAACCGAAACTTAAAAAAATACAAAATATAAATAGAGGACAATATTTGTTGTGGTGTGGAAGTCTCAGTTCCTCCGATGAAAAACCTATTTAAATACGTATGTTTTCGTATAACAGCAATCATGTTAAGTATCATACCATTAGTATAATTTGTGAACATAATATCTGAGAAAAGAACCGAAGAAAAGATTTTTGCAACTGAACAGGAGTCGGATGTTATGACCTTTCATATAATCTCAGTAATAAGCTAATAAGTATAAGTAGTGTGTAAAATATAATTAAAAGTAGACGCAGATTTGAAAATAACTCCACGTGATAATCCTATATTTTTTTGCTCTTTCATTTCATTATTTTATAAAGTTCATTGTGTGTGTCGATTACGTGTTTGTAGAGACGTAACTTCTGACGAACTGATGAAGCAAATTGTAAACAATTCTACTACTCTATTGGGTAGATGTCCAATCGTCGAAGAGAGTAGTAATAAAAATGTGCGATTAACGAAATTTACGCTTCCTATTGGTTAGACAACGTGGCGTAAAGTTTCAGTAGACTTAATAAGACTTTAGCGCAGGCTGTTCGAACGACTTTCATGTGATCACTGCATCTGTTTGGGCTGATATTCCGAACAATTATTTTACGTGAATTTGGAACAGGATATCTTAAATTTTGGATATACGGAAGAAAATGGTTAAGCACAGTTAGTTAATGATTTGGTTGTATTAACAAAATTTGTGATTAATGCAGTAAATTTAATTTTCAAATATGAATTAAGTTTATACAATCATGTTTTTGAAGTCACACTTTAAAAGTAAGTACGTTTACTAATTGCACCGGAAGAAATAAAATCGTGCACAACTTAAATTAAGAAATCAAAGTTCCACGATGAAAATGTAATGTATTCGGAGAAAGTCCAAGAACTGGTGTTTTAATATAAACTTAAAACTTTAAAATAAAGCTATAGCAACAGTGACATATAATTAAAATAAAATAAAAACCAAACTAATCAAAAAAAAAATGTTTAAAAGGCCACATATGGAAGTACAACCATGCTTGTATTGGTATAGGTACTAATATGAGAATCTGGAGCCTACGGATCAACTGCTAAAGTCGGCCAAAATCGAATGAAATGTAACATCAATCTATGGTTCTAAGGTTGGTAAAATATATACCTACAGAACACATAATTTCCTACTTTTTTACACTATTTCTGCATTTAATACTGCTACAAAACCCTAGTTTTAATGTGACACCAAATACACCTAAAAAACGTCAACAGAAATAGTAATAAACATGGACAGGGTTCTAACCGAAGCAGTTTTGTTCATCTGAAAAGTCCCGGCAGTCGTAGAAGTTATCGCAGCGGAGACTGACGTCAACACAGGTCCCGTCCGAACACTGGAACCAGTCAGGCTCGTGGCATGTCCCTGGCCAAAAGGCCAGAAAACAAATTTGTTTGAGGTAAAAAATAGTTTCGAAAAACAGGAACGAGGAAGTAAAACTAAAGTAAACTTACGACATTCTCTTTCGTCGGATCCGTCTGTACATTCTGCTGCCCCATTGCAAACCAGGTAGTTCGGAATGCAAGCGCCGTTTTCACACTGGAACTCGCTGGGAGTGCATCGGTCGTCTGGTGGGCAATCAAATTCGTCGGAACCATCACGGCAATCATTTTTCCCGTCACATTGAAGCTGGCCCTCAATACAGCGGCCATCTTTACAGTCGAACTGAGTGTCTTCGCAGCGACCTGAAAATATACATAGTTATGGTGTAATCCTAAATCTATTTCATAAGATGGCCAGAGTTTGTAAGTATGTACCTTCGGATAAGGTAAGGAGCTGGGGTATCGCCTTTCCGAAGTAGAGAAGACATTTTTTTAACTAAGATTTTATTATGTTTTTGTTAAGGTTCCAATATACTTACTGCTGCATCCTTCTTCATCTCTGCCATCGGCGCAGTCGTCGTAACCATCACAGCGGAAGTCCGTGTTTATGCAACTGTCACCACAGCTGAATTGAGTGTTGGTGCAATCTATAGTTTGAAAAAGTAAAATTAGCAACACTTCTACAATTGTAGCAAGAAAAAGTTAGAGTACAGTCCCAGGCAAGATGTGCATAATACAAAATCAACAATAGTTGTGTATCAAATCCGAAACGAAGATTGAAGTTTTTTCAACCCCGAATTAAGTAGTAGTAGGTATCCAACTTTTACCTTCTGCATACTGTATTTTTTTCTCTTTTTTCATCATTCTTATTCCAAATTATTTGCTTCACATGGTTACTGACTTTACGAAAAGTAAATACATACCTGCGTCTCAGTTTTGTTTATAACGTTTAAAAGTTGTTGGATACCTAGATTAACACCGGAAGTTATAGATTTGTATTACCAAGCGTTAGATAAAGTCGTTAGTTGATTGAGGGAAAAGTTAGTATTGGTTAAATTAATGTTGAAAGTATCTAACTAGATGATTATATGAACTACACAAAGTCTCGATCTCTGAAATTGAGACATACTCTGGCCACCAGGAGCAGATGTCGAGCAACCTTGTTCGTCGGAACCATCTGGACAATCTGGTCGCCCATCACAGCGACGACGGATGTCTAAACACACTCCGGTACCACAACGAAATTGATCTTCTGGACACGTGTAAACTAAACGCAAATGAAATAGATGTCATTGCAGCAGTTTCAAGTTATAGATTTTCCAGTCTACATTCTATCAGAGATGGTTATTTTGTACACAGAAAAATTAGAACAGAAACATCTAACCAGAGAGAGTATACTACAGAAAGATTCAAAGACAACATTTAGAACGAGCCTGCACTATTGACAATGACCTTATTGGTTGAAGAATGATTAACCAATGGGATAGCGTCAATAGTTTTGCCACATAGACACATTACACAAACGGACATACCGCAGTTTTGCTCATCGGACCCGTCAGAGCAGTGAGTAATACCGTCACAGCGAAAATGTTCCTCGATACAGCCTCCGGATATACAACGGAACTGATCGGGTGTGCAAAAACTACACCCTTGCTCATCAGATCCGTCGGAACAGTCCTCTATGCCATCGCATCTTTGCCTTCCGGATATGCAATCTCCATTTCCACATTGAATGTCGTCTTCGGCGCACACTAAACGGACGGTAAAGTTAAAAGTCTTACCGCGAAGAACGACAACATGTATGTTTAGCACCAAAAAGTCCACCTTCTCATTTGTTAGTTGATTAGGCACAATTCTGACTTTTTGGAGTAATTTGAAGTTGTGTGGTAATAGAGTTTAAAAATGTATGAGTATGTCATGACAATATCTACTTCAATAAAACAGAACGTTAAAAAAAAGATTTACCGCTATACTAGATTTTCAAAACTAATAACTATACCCACCACCATTATAGTAACAATTTATCTCATCGGATCTATCCCTACAGTCTGGTATGTTGTCGCATCGCAACCTACTCTCGATACAACGGCCATCGTTGCAACGAAAGTCGCTTGAAGAACATGATGGTTCTGTCACATCGAAAGCACAGAAAATGTGTTAAAAAAGGGTTACCATTAAAGTGTTAGGTTACACGATGCAGCAAGCAGTAAAACTAGGTTTACTATAAATCGTGAAACATACCAGGTGGTAATATGGGTGTCGGGCATTGCTCTTCGTCATTGCCACTAGGACAATCTTTTATACCGTTACATCTTTTGTAGCCCATGATACAAAAACCGGTGGCACATTCGAATTCATTTTCGCTACAAGAACTTCCCGGAAAACCTAAATAAATGACTGTGGAGTGAGTTCTTGTATCTTTGAAGAACGTTCATCGTGCTGTTAGTTTTTTTTTTTTGACGTCACCGATTCTTCTACAAATACCCGCATTTCCCAAAACGTACCGACAAAACGTCAACGTGGATTGTATCATACAGAACAGAGCACTTGAGTTAGTATCGTCTAACATTTACATTACAACATTGTTAGAACAATAATAGTCAATGTTAGCTATTATGTGAAGTGTGTATTAGGTATAGTAGACTTATTGTAATAGAAAAAATTGTTCAAGGAACATAAAGAAAATTTTGTTTTTTTATAGACAGATCCCAATTAATATCATTCACAGTGGTTGTAAATGCTTGACAACCACGTGAGTGATTTTTTTACCTTTTATTACAATTTTTGAGGGGGTCGAACAAAATCTTTCATCACTATTATCTTCACAATCTTGTATTCCATCACAATAGCTACTACTTTTTATGCACTTGCGCTTGTCGAGGCACTTCCAAGTGTTTGCTATACATGTCAGTGTTTTTCCTGCATGCCCCATCCAATTACCAAAAACATGCATATGTGATTAGAAATGTGTTTTATCGTGTAGAGTGTGTGATTATATCTAAAACACTTATCACTACGTAAAACTGAAAATAATAAAAACCGGATATCCTACAAGACAAAACTACGGCTATTAATAAATCTTGGACAAAAGCCAGTCGGAAAGAGAAAAGAAAGATGATCGAAGGAAATAAAAATTGGCACACTAAGAGAACTAAGACATTCACAGGTTGGCGAAGAGACCGACAAAATAGAGAAAATAAAAAGTTAAACGAAAATGTGTCCTTACCACTGCAACTAGTTTCATCACTACCATCCGGACAATCGCTAATAGAGTCACACTTTTTTCTTGCGTCAATACAGTTACCACTTGTGCATTTGAATTGGTCTGCATTGCATAAAGCTGTGGCATGAATAAGCATTAGCATGATAAAGCCAACGAGGGTGTTTTTGATCAGATAAGTCATGTGCTGTTTACGAAACTAAAGTGAATTTTGGCTATCCAACACATGACTTGAAAAATTTTGACAACTAACCGCAGGATTCCTCGTCTTCGTTGTCGCGGCAGTCGGGTTTTCCATCGCATCGCCTCGATAAACTTACGCAAGCCCCGTTTCTACACGTAAACTCGTCAGGGGTGCAAACTTTGCTTTGGTTATCGTAATTTTCTGACCCTAAATTTCAAGAGATTAGAGACTGGTCGCGATTAAACGTTGGCCGGACCTTGTGATGAAGTTAAACCAAGATAGAAGAAATTAACTACTTATAGTCCAAAGCCAACGCTCTACAACTGATGGTACATTTACATCATGCATTATCTACTTTGGCGTTCGGATGAAACATCAGTTTCTATGAGTGACGACACCTCATTCGAACCCAAACCGTCACCTCTACTACCGCCACCCTTCCATTTATTGAGCTTTATCAGCTGCTATTATTAGTTAAACTGCTAATTTATCGTAAAGAAAGAAATGCGTACTAGGGCTACTATGGCATCCGATCTCGTCGGATCTGTCTTGACAATTATGAATTCCGTTGCATCTTTGGCTGGGGGGGATACAGATACCGTTCGCACATCGGAAATCCGTCGGTTTGCAGGCTGGAAATAAAGACAATTGTACGGCTGTCTGAGATTGTGAGTTAGTCGAAGGTAAGATGTTATTCACGACACCAAAACTCGGAAAATCCATAGATTGTAATTTAATCAACGGGACAAAGATGTTAAGGACAATATGGGATAGTTAGAGTGTTTTGACAGTATTTATTTTTGGAAGCAACTTTCACCGTTTTTATGTTGTTGGCAATTATTAATTGCAACCAAAAGCAAATATGATGATCTGATAGAGTCCACACACATGGGGGCGAGATTAAATAGATCAACATGTTGAGGTTTAGTGGAAGAGAAAAATCGTTCGTTTCAATAGAGGCAATAGAAGGGACGACACCGATGAATGGAAGGGTTATTCGAAATTAGACAAGATAGACGATAGGAGATGGATTTCTTGCTAACACTTACGACAATTTCGTTCGTCGGATAAATCCTTACAATCGTATTTTGAATCGCATTTTGCTGTTAACGGGATACAAGTTCGATCCTGACATGTGAATTCGTCATCACCGCATGGCGCTGTGTTGTGTGAACATGCAAAATGTTAAATGTCAAAAGTTTGTCTGTTGTGTTTAACTGAGTCAAACTATAGCTGTCGAAATTATTTTGCTCTATACAATGTAAAATGCAACGTTACAATTACAAACAAAAACACAAGTTTAATATACGCAAACCTATGTTGTGCACTAAAAACATGCTGTAAATCACAATTTTGCAACTTATCAAAATGCTTTAAAAGCACACTTATTTACTTAAGCTTTTTGTGCAGCCGGCAAGCTTCGGACATGCACAACAAACATATCTAAAAGCAAGACACAACGTACCTGTGCAGTTGTTTTCGTCTTGTCCATTTCGGCAGTCTGGACGTCGGTCGCATCGTTGTTGAAGAGAAATACATTGTCCATCGCCACATGAAAACTGATCGCTGCTGCACTGAGACTCTGCAACAATTTAATTTATTAAAATTTTGAGCGTTTGTGTCGTCATCGTCCTAATTCAGCTCGTGCCTAGCACAGCTTTATACTCCGGAAAGTCGGTTCTATTTATTAGCGCAATATACATGAAAGTATTCTTGATGAATTGAATTCACAATACGTGCTTTCTTGCGGAATGCTTGGCGTGAAAAGCTGCGATTAGCTGCAGTAATTGAAATTTATTATAGTTAATAACAACCAGCTTTCAGGGGCATTATTAATTCGATTTGATTTCTGCAAATTCCGAACTAATGTAAAGGACGTTCATGGAATCGAATCAAGAAAAACTTCTCCTTATCCACGTAGGTAAATTTCTGACATCCTAAACCAAATCGAAATCAATTTTGCTGGATCGGGGACTACGCTATTGTCGAATATTCCACCTCTTCACATGGGGCGGTGTCAGATATCACAAAGCCCTACTCCAGCAGAATTTGCCGTGATATTGCATCTAGTAACGCGATATAGCTGTTTGCCTTTTGTAGTCATCTTACTACAGGTACTGCGGAACAGCGTCAAGTATTCACTCAGTCGATCTGAAATTTTCAAATAGTGTGGTAAATTTCGAGAGCTTTGCGCTTAAACAGTTCAGCTGGAACAATGTCAATAATGTCTCTGGAATATACGGGGCACGGTATTGTGAGATCTATAAAATGTCCAGAATTAATAACTGAAAAACGATCTCTTCCTATAACCAACACGTGTTCTCATAAAACTTAATTTTAGTTGACAGGAACGCATTTAACCTCGTTTCAAATTCTGCATGAGTAATATTTTTTTAAAAACTATTATTAATGATTATGTCATGGTACATTCATCAACACGAACTGATTATGTAAATTGACTAGAAATATTTTTCAGTTACAATAAAATTTCAATTTGATTAGGCAAACTTTATTTATTCGATTTTAAACTTTAACGCACCGTTTATATGGTTATCGCACTACGCGAAATGTTGGATAGCTTTTTTTTTAATGAAACCACGGCCAGATTAATAATTGTATTTTAGTTTCCAGACACCTATTTTTAGAATTTTTCCATGGTACACATTTCATTTTAGACAGGTATGTATAGTTCTCCATTGTATCCCGTGGAAAACTCGACTCGCTTAACAATGTGTTGATTAACATTCTGATACCGAAAATGTGGATATATCGGAAATAAATCAATGTTACTTTGAAACATGGTTTCAGCTGTAAATACCCGTTGTGCATACCCTGTAACAATATTAAGTGGCGATTATTCATTTCCTATATTTAAACAATTTTATCATCAATAACATTAAAATTAAAAGTGTTAAAGAAATTACGCTAAAGGTTATGAGACGTATGTGTTTAGTTTAGCGGTGTAAAATCAGAAGGGTAAAAATGATACAAAATTATTCAAATAGAACTTTCCTTGTTCCTGAAGCACAGTCAAACAGGTTCAGTTTGTTACACAAATTATGGTTATATCAGACTGATATAACTTCTCAGCATGTGAGAGTAATTGGTTTAGTACTTAAACCACAAGCGCAGAAGCACATTATTTAATGACATTAAATGCCTATCAAAATTTCATATAGACGCCATCGAATTGGTGGTACATTCAAAATTCTAGGGTTATCGGTACAGTTTTTCGGAGATTACGTATTTGATAAAATCGCCGAAACACGGACTGGAAACCCGGGTTTTTGAATTGTACAAGCCGAAAACGTGGAGAAAACATGAAATTAGGTAATTCGTTAAGTAGACTGTTTTGCAAGTTATTTTAACTTATGTTTGGGAAGATTTAGTTCGAATTTTTATTCAGTATTAAGATATAAATTGGTGCACACTTATCTATTTAGCTCGTTGGTAATAGCAGATGGTGTTAAAAAAACTGTTTTTTCCAAAATTTTGTTTTGTTACTCAAATTTCTGCAATGCTACCGTTTACACAAAAAATAGCCTTCCCTAATTCTACTATATTAGATATAATTTATGTATTTAATCGCTTGGAGAATTTTTGTTACGTGACATACATATGTTTTGGGTTCAGGATTTCATTATAGTAGTCTTGTGCAAAATATTTTAATGGAAGGTAGAAGAGAGATATGCCTAGTATATTAATAAATAACAAAAATATAACGATTTTAAACGACGATTTGAGAATACACATTCCGCGACAATTAACTGATCTACCTCAAGTATGATTTTAAACTTTTGCGATTACTTTACTAGTCCGAGGTGTAATGTACTAGAAGAGCTTTCTGGACGGGTGGTATGCAACTTATTTCGCTGGCCATGAAGTTTGTAACTATCAGGTCAGATCAGATCCCATCAGGTCAGGTCAGGTTAGGTAAGGTCAGGAGAGGTCAGATCAGGTCAGGTCTAGGCTGGTTTAGAACTTATGACAAGTCAATGACATTTCTGCCCAAGATTCAATGTCCCCAACTGTAATATATAGACAATGCTCGACCACGTATTGCTAGGGTTACTTTAGACCATTTTAAGGAAGCTGAAGTCAATCTTCTGCATTTTCCTTCAAGATTTCCGGACTTATCCACAATCGAAAATGTTTGGGATATCAAAAGCAAGAGCCCCATCCTCCACAAACTCTGGAAGAATTTCGGCACCAAGTACAGGTGGTATGGGTTAAAGTTTAACCCCAGGAAAACGTTGATGACTGCATAAAGACTCGTACTCCTTCATCGCATAAGAAAATCTTTTGTTTCTTAAAACTGCTGGACAGATGGCATCGAAATTCCAATAAATCCTTGGTTTGACAAACGTTAGCTATAGGTATATATAATATCATTACAAAATCATGGTTCCTTTTTGGTGTTTTCTATTTGTTTCACTTAGTACAAATAGTTAAGTCCCACGTTTGTTTTTATGGCAGAGCCAAGGTCAAACAGTTGTCGCAATGTAATATCATATTTACATTAAACATGCCTCAAAATGTATTAGACCCCTAAAATACTTTGGTTTTGGTACCTACAATTCTCTTGAAAATTTCAAGCGCAGTGGAAAAATAATGAAAAAATTATGAGAATAATCAGAATAATCATTATCACAGTATATACATACGCTAATAAGTAAGTAAAATGTTCTATTGTACCTAATCTACTTATTTGATTATTATGGAGCCGTTTCTTTGCGTATAAGTTATAATTAATAAACGTAGCTCTGTAAATACACGTATTGTAATAACAGTTCTGTAATATTTAATATTGATAACATCAATTACTGTTCAGTACTCGATAAAGTTATATTTTCCAATTTTGCTATAACAAACAACAAAAAATACTGTGCGAAATGTAGTGTTTATTTTACATTAATACAAATGGCTATTTTTGTGTCTGGCATTTGGCAGTGATTTCATACACTAACAAATTACGGTTAATATTACAACAGCTCGTTAGTACAAAACTGCAATTCTCATTAAAAATAATAATTACTTGCCGTTGCAACGGCAATTGGGTTCTGGCAGCAGTATTTAGAATATTTTTAAATCTGACTTGTCTCACGTTAAAGCGCAATTTCTGGATTATTGTTTATGTGTAAAATTGAACGAAAAAATTAATTCGCAGCGTCCCTTTCTGTTAACGTGATTTTAGCAAAAACAACTGGGAAGATTTGTTTTTATTCCATTTTGGGTTTAAAATTTATGACGAATAAAAAGCATAAGGTTGTAGAGATCGTTAATCGAAAAGTGATCAGCCCAATGTCTCATTTTACAAATAATACAAATTTGAGATTTGTTTATTTGAACCCTTTTCATATTACATACCCTGTTTAGGAAATCGATATCGCATATTGAATACATGAGACACAACTTTACCGAACATGATTATACGTCACTCTGTAGCTGTTCATTTGAGTATTCACATACGCATGTATTAATTTCTTTGATTATTTTTGGATATACTAAGTAATTAAATAAAAAATTTATAGTGTTATTGGATGCGCAATAAAGAAAAATAAATAAATAAAAAAGGAGGTCTTATAACATGAAAATCTCTACAACTGTTATCATTTGGAATATAATTAGATAAAATAAGAAATTAGCCTAATTGATCCGTTTTATAATTTGGCTATATACAATAATCGGCTTTCTCTTTAAACCAAAAGGTTTATCAAACAAATCCGCTTTTTGGATTCTTAAAATTTTATTTAAGGCGCACTGCTCAGAACTGATTTATGTGCTATATTACATTCATACATTTTACCAATTGATGTTCGTTCGAAAATAGATCGGCGTGATAACACAGTACAGTTCAGAAAAGTTCATTAATTTCTCAAACCTCCTTTAATTTGCAATTTTCCAATTGCATAGTGAGGACCATGTTATATTTAGGTAAAAACGAGTTAAGATAAGGCTCTATTAATAATAGTATGATATATAAAGATGTTTCCGTAATCAGAATTTCTTATTTCATCAGGTTGTCTCTCATATTGAAAAGATCGAAGAGTATTCGGTCGTGAGTTGAACGTTTTAGGATATCCTAACTTCGAGGAAATTGCCGTAATTTACATTTCCACTTTACGTGTGCCATTTCATATCATAATAAACAGCCACCTGTTGAATGCCCTCAAAACGGGGTTAGAAAAATGTAATCCGATATATTATGCTTTACACGTTCTTCGTTAGTTTAGATATATAATAACTCTCGCAGTGTGACATAAAACAATTTTTAAAAATAATTAAATTCCAGTAAAAACAGGTCGTGCTAATCCAACTTTCATTTATTCGAATAATGTAATTTTTTACAATTAATTTGCTGAACGCAAAAACAAAAAAATCTTTTTCTTCATCAGTTTAAGAAGTAAAATACACTCAAAATTAAAATAAACGATGTGAAGTACCTAGAAGGTATCCTGATTTCCAAAACTTATTTGAATTGAAAAAACAAATAACTACGGGCACCGAAAGAAGAGCTTCCATTCAGTGCCATAATTTCTAATTACATCATGTATAAAACTAGATGTTACATACATATTAAAG